ACACTCTACCGACAGGTCATTATAGTGTTAATTTGCGGCATTTACTGACTACGAGGTGCATTAACATAGAGTAGGTCTTCCTCTCACACAAAGAGAATCAGAAATTTATGAAGTAATGCCTTGTTCGTAACGCGTGGATGCGGCAGCACGTCATTCATGTTGTGATGGTGTTACCCGTAAGAGAATCCATCAGGGTCACCGCCACTCTGCTATAGCGACTTCGTTTGTAAGAACGAAGCGCACGGTTAGTGGGTGAACTTAATCCTTTCCAGGATAAGAAGGTGCAAGAGGCAGGCGGTAGCTTTTACGTTGGTGACAGGAATCTTTGTGCATGAATTCCACTTGTTGTTGAACTCCGCTATCGAATGCAAGGTATGTAGACTCAGAGAGGGCATATCACATAGTGCCTCACTTTCGCCTTTCAGGTTGTGTGGATCGAGCCGGGTACCAATGTCTTCCTAATGCAAGCCGTCTTGTACAACCGTGGTACGTCTGATGCGGAAGTGAAGTATGACCCGGAGAAGGTGGATTTCGCAATCAGTTTGCAATTGGGCAAGGTCCACGTAATCTTCCTGTATTGGTTCCTACGAAGAGTCCTTGTGAGCAGACTAGTTGTCCGTTTGCATTTTGAATGCCACTCAGGTGTAATATTGTTGACTTTTTGTTGTTCGAAGGGTTTCATGGAGGCCTTCCAATCAGCAACAGACTACGCTGTGGCGAAGGCATCGGAAGTAACCGATGCAGCAAAGACGCAGGTATTTTTTTTGAGTCTTGACATTGTTCCGAATTCAGATTTCTCAAGAAGCAGAGGTGTTAACAAATGGAGTTGTTGGTAGTGCATAGGTATCTTGACATTAGAAAATGCATGCTGGTATAAATGGGTTAAAGTGTGATGCTTATGTTCCAGCCAAAATGAATTACGGCTCGACTCAACGGAACCTGTGTTTTCTCCACGTCTAACACTTCGTTAGATGTGTCCATCCGTGTTTTGTGCGTATTTTTGTCAAATAAACTGGATGTTTGTGAAGATGTGTGCAGATAATGACTCTAATTCCAAGTATCATAAAGTGGGTGGTGCGAACTATCAGTTGTTCGACGCAGTCAAGGTTGGCAAAACGGCGAATTTGTGACGATTTGAAAGTTGAGGAGAATTTCATCGATCGATGTGCGGTTGATGATGTTCTCGCGTGGATCTGTCGGTTGTGGTGCAAGGTTTATTGTTTGACCATGCGATGCACGGGGTGTCGAAATGTCACCTTCGTTTGAGCAGATTGGGGAGATGACTTTGTGGAACGAGGAATGACTTTCAACAGTTTGCAGATTTCGTTCTTTTGACCGCTGTTGCCCTAACACCAATGACATGTGAATCCCAATGGTCAAATACGCTTTTGGTTGTTTTTACACGGTAACCTTGATTGTCGGCATCCACCTTGAGTGGTCTTCCCTATCAGCTTTTGTGTTAGTGGATGTATTTCTCCTCAGGTCCAGCAGGTGGTGAATCAGGCGACGTCACCGAGAATAGCTCTAGCGATAAACATTGAAGCTCCAGTGATCTACATGCCGCAGAACTCGAAGTCTCGGAGCGCTCTGGTCTTCGATCTAGGTCATATTTCGGTTAAAAACCAGTTTGAAGTTGTGCCCAAGCCAATTTCGAAGACGGAAGACTCTGATGATGTGCTAATGATGGATCACATGAGTGTTACCCTGGAAGATTTACGAATGTCGGCGTAAGTAATTTGATATATGGATAGTTGTCCTATGGATTTCAGCACCCATGTGTTCATGTTAATGCTCAAGATTTGTTTAACGAAATCGAGCGTTTGTTTTAACGTCATGGTCGAAAGCTGCAAAACCCTGTAAACATTATTTCTGGCAGCCATTTTACAGCCACCCTGATCCCAATTCTGCAACGGCACACACCTGGTACAAACTGTGTTTGCATGTCCTAACTTCACGAGGAGATTGTGTTGCCGACCACGTCCATGGCAATGGTTCGTGACCAAATGCCGGTCACTGGGAGTGGTTTGTGGGAAACTTTGATTCCCAAGTGAACTAAGACCTTCTTTTGGCCGGGATGATGCCTTCAGAACCAGGGGGCAAGTATTTGTGTCTCTCAGTCTCCACGTCGATTAAACAGTCAAATGTGACATTCGTTGTTACTTTCAATCATCGAGGAGGGTGTGAAGAGCGTTCAATGAGCCTACAGAGTGCCTGGGTGTTTGGGCAAGTCAAAATAAGAAGGCCCTTTTACGCGCAATTGATAGCGAACTGTGCCGAGGTGGTGTTGCCATTGTAGTGACCGGATAAGGGTAAAGCGGTCCAGGCAATTTGTTGGTGTGCTAATGGAGGTAATTTGAGAAATCGAAGGCTATATCTGAAGTGATGCTTGTTGACTGCAGGCTCAAATTGGCAACTGGGTACCCGACTGCGACCGGGGATATGTCAGATGTGTGTTTTTGATAATGCTGCGGTTACGTGAGAGGAGAAACGCAAACGAATAAAAAGCCCGAGTGCAGTACTAAGCATAAATGTAATTTTGCGGAGTTCGGTACCAGCCTAGTTTTTACTGACGAGGAATCCCTCATCTCCGTTCAGAAGTGTTGCTTTCGTCAATTCAACATGGTTCTGTCATGCGTACTTGGCAGACTTACACGACCTCGCACCTTTAGAGGAGCAATGTGGAGGCTGTGATTATCTCAGTCGGTGCAGTTCTAGAGGTGGTTCTCCCCGATATCTCCACCAAATGACCTGACCTGAACCTAGTGTCTTCTTAAGGCCTACTGCAATTGTCATGTTGATGTTGCAGCGTTGTGGTTGAGGGGGCCGCACAACACAGGGTTTTCGTTTCCTTGCTCGTCCAAGCCAAGCACACAGCGTGTGCATCCACAAAGAGAGCCTGTTAGAACTGCATGAGGTGTCTGAGAGACCAGTTTTCCAAGGACGTTGTGGGTGAAATGGGATATAAGTTGAAAGTAGCTCTAACTGCCTTTTACCGATGGCATTCAGCTGAACCTTGGTGTGGTTTTCGGTTGCGCCTCGTTTGGGAGATTCCGTCGAATTGCTGTTTTTTCGTCTAGACGTTTTTACAATGGCTCCGGAAATGAATACCGCTACGAAACCTATTTATTAGTGAAAATGTGCGGCCGATTCGTGTTGTACATGCACGGCTGTAGCAACGTCACCGCGTGAACATGTTTAAGTTCAATGTGCTTATAGTAATTGAATCAAACGTTGTGTAACGCTTTGCTGGGAATTGTCGGGGGCCAATTGCGTCAAAATAGTTCCTTTTTGTAAGTGCGCGCCGTTTAACGAAACGCTGTTTGTGCACGTTTGTTGGTAGTGGCTGTCGTTATTTTTGTTGATATAATATAAAGGAGTTTTCACTCTTGTATTCCACAGAGGATACTTTTCTCGTTTCTTTGAATCCGGTCGTCGGAAGTACATACTCTCACTGTCGTATTGTCACAAGTAATGACTTAGTTGATCACGTTTGTTTTTGTTTTGGCAATTTTATAATTGGCTCTTTTTGACTGCATAACCCTAATGGTGCTGTGGGTTCCATCTAGAGCTCTTCTAGTCGATGGGGGGATAGCGGTTGACAGAAATGTGATCCAGCCAATTAACCTGAGTCTCCACATGAGCCGAAAGGTCTTCCCCTCCAAAGACGACGGAGTTCCTCTCTTTGTCGTTTCAGGAGCTCTCGAATCAGTCAGGGTACGTTGCCTTTTTCAATGGCTTTATTTTAACCACGTCACTTACTAATCATGACCGACAATTATATGGTTTACCACACTGTCCATTTGAAGCCGTGTCCGCGGTGTTGTGTTAGATGCTGCGTTGTTCATTTTTCAAATTATAACGGGCACACGAGCAGGCTTTCCGTAATGTCGTTAGCTTAGCTGTTCATTGAATGGTCACTATGTAGTTCTTCTGCCATTTACGCCCGAGTGTTCTAGTCTGCTAAATTGAGCCATTTTTCAAACCCTGGTTAGGGGATGCTGATATGCCCTTTAATTTTCCTTTTGCGTTTTTATACTCAAATATTAGCTTCTAAGGCGCCTCAACTTTTAGCCCCCAAAAAAACTTGAGTTGAATCACGTCGTAATTTTTACAGCTATCCAAATTCCTTCTGTGTAGCTTTCCATGACGTTCGGCGACTACAAATTAGTCAACGAGGTTTTTGTCGACAACTTTGAGGAAGCAGACAACTTGTTGGGCCCAACTTTGCAGTCCAACACTGTCGATTCAGAAAATGCGGGTCTTCCTGTGAATGTTTACGAGGAAAACACCAAAAAGGCCAGCAACGCGACCCAAGAAGCCTTGCCCCATGCCACCGACAAAAATGCCACGTGGAATTTTGTTTTAAAGCGACTGGAGGTCGAACTATTTTCAGGCACAAATGACACGGTAATTCTGTTATTTTACTCTGATTTCTTATGTCCACATAACTGGAATCAACCTGACTCCCTATTTGGTCGATCGAACCATCAAATTGTGAACGTACTAATTTAGAAGCTGCATGGGATGGGTTTTTGACATGGAAACGTTAGCTCGAGCTGCACATTACTTTGGCTTTGGTCTGCAAAAAAAGCATCTTCGTCTGATACGTAAAAGCTCTGCGGAAACTTGATTTAGCTGTATGCATTGTTTGCGTTTAATATCGAGTCGTTAGTGGGGTAACTAATCTCGAATTTGTACACTTCTGTGCCTATTCGCTTTCTATTGTTAACAAAAGCATAACCTATTAAACTGAGTTAAAATAGTGAACTACGCTCAGCTCTAACACCCATGGAGGCCTTATTTCAAATAATTTACATGCAGCCGTCGCTTTACCTTGATGTGCTTGAAGCCATCAATTTCAATTTGTCGTTCCTGTGCTTAGAAAAACTGGAATGAAGAAATCCACGCAAGTCGACGTTTGGGTGTCTTCACGTGTACTGAACTGCACCTCGAAGGTGACGTTCTGGCCGACAACTCGTCAAACGTCACAGCGCGTTTGAAAGACGTCTCTCTGACCGACACTCGACCGCACTCGACCAACCACATTGTCAAGTAAGGCGGGTATTTAATGAGGACTTCGTCGGCAGTCTTATGTTAAACTCATTCAAGGCGGATGTGGGACGCATAGGAAGTTGGTTTTAGTACTTGTCGTGGTACTTGTGAACATTGATTAATGATTTGTATATTGAGTACATTTCGTTTTTTAGGTGTAAGATTCTTAAATGCGATAAGCTTATGCGCTTGGTTGGGTCAGTTTTTTTTCTTGAAATCATCTTGCCAGATGCACTTCATCGCCTGTTGTGGGTCCAGTAAATTAAGTATTGTTTTTCATTGCACTTTATGCTTCTTTCTCAAAATTCATGACTGGGTAAAGCCAACCATGATCAGCTGTTGCCTCAAAAGACCAATAGATTTTACCCTTAACAATCACAATTCCTTTACATGGTGCAATTGAACTCAGCGAAACCAAGTTTTGTGTCACTGTTGGAGCAGTTATTATCATCCTCATGCTTTTACTAAACAGCTTAGTGAAGATCGTTTGTGCGTGTTTTCGGTAAAATAAATGTATTTTTCAACCTTGTCCATCGACATATTCCGATGCTTCATTAGGGGCATTCCTGCCTGTATTGCATTATGTCGGTCTACATAACCTGTACCTACTTCCTTTGTAAAGTGGCGTCGTTTTGGGGTAAGCCCTTTTTTTCGTTTTCGAGTAGTCACAAATCTTCTGTCTGTTCCGTTTTGTGGTTGTACAAATAGTTAGCCATCACTTTAGTTTTCACGCTACTCAATTTGTTACCGTTGTTATGGCTTTTAAGTGTTTTCTGACACATCACATTAACCCAATTTTCAGTATTCTCAGCCAGGCAGGCGATTCACAAAATGGCGCGTCGAATTTCATCGAAGTCTTCTACCATTCGGATACACAGTCAAATCAGACTCGTAAGTGCATGTCCTCTTTCAGATTTTTTAACTTAATCTGTCTTGAATGGGATGGATTTTAATTCGTAGACATCTGAAAATCTACGCTAAGTCGGTCTCCCTAGGCACAGTCAACCTTTTTGTTCCTTCCTTTTACTCATTACTAGTAACCAATAGGCACATGCGGCAATACCTGCGATTAATATTTGTGTTTAAAGTCTTAAAACTGAGAAGGGCATCTAGTTGTAATATTGTTGCTGTCTTGACAGTGGAAGTATTTCGACTATGAAAATATAAATGCCCAACTGACAACTTTTTGCAAAAATAATTTTGCCCAACTTTTAGTCGCCACTTCGATGCTTGAGTTGCAAAGTTAATAAGAAATTAGGTAGTGGTTTACGCGTCTTACGGCTTAATTTAATGCGGTGTATCCTTGGTAGAGAATTAAAGTTGGGAAAGTCTTCCAACAAGTGAAGTCCCCGTCTCAAGGTGTTGGTGATCCAGTTACAAGGAAGCATCTTATTATTGCGCTTTTACAGGTCAACCATTATCACCTGAAGCTTCTTCTGACCTATTGAAGTAGAACGGTTCGAATAATATGCGTAGAAGCTGTTGTTGGTGCTTTTAGCATCGAAATATTATTTTTTTTTAAATTGCAGTCGATGTGAACGTTTGTAGTATAATGGTGTGTGCTTCGCTGGACTACTTCATGATACTGTCGAAATTCTTCATTGATGGGGCACCTCAAAGCAAGACTCCTAGTACGAAACCCGTTCCACCACCCTCTCGGAAATCTTTGACTGCAAAGGCAACGCGTAGTGAGTCCTTTAGTGTCGATGTAATTTGGAGGAACAGAAGTTTTTACTTTAATTGTGATCCACAATACCTTTTGTTGCACGGATTCGTCTAGCGAAGTATCCTGGTAAATGTACTCTGTCACCGATTTCCCTTAACGTGCTGTGGTTATGTATCATCATGTCTTCTTTTATTGCAAATTGTGCTCTTACGTGGCGGTAGATATATCCAAAGCTTGTCTGCGCCTCTGAGGGATCTACTGCGCAAGCATGTGCCTTTGACTGTGCGTCGAACCTTCGTAAATCAACATTGCCATCAGCGATTCTGTGTGTTTTGTGCTGTCTTCGTTTTTTAGCCTGGTTCCACTTAAAATGAGTTTTTTTAGACACTGGCGTTGACTGTTTGCAAAGTGTTTGAGTATGTACGAGCCTCGGTATTGTTTCACTGTGCTCACTTGAATCTTCTGTTTTTTTTTCTTTGAGCTGTGTCCACGCACACTCCGCCATCTCCGAAGATTGGAACTCTTGCCATTAAGACCAACATAGACGATCCTGAGATTATTCTGCCGGAAGACATGTCAAATCCAAATTGCAACGCCATCCTCATAACGGTGGGTTCCGTGCACACACGCTATTATACTTATACCTTGTTAGAAATCCAGCCAATTCAAATCAGTTCACCTTCACATTCCTTTCTATCTGGCAAACACATCGTTTTAAAATCACACCTAGCTGTTCAATTTTATTAACACTCTTATTAGGCTGACTGAGTAGCTATGTAGTGTCTATTTTTTCAGACAAGCCTAGACTTCAGCTACACAATGCTTCAGGAAGAAACAGTGATGAATGCCAGCATTGGCAAATTCAGGGTTCTTGCCTGTCCATTTCAACGCGAAAAGAGAGAGAATAACAGTATGGAGGTGAGTTTAAAACACACTTTAACTGCCTGTTTGTGAACCCTTCCTGTTTCAAACATGTACTCTTTTATGACATCGCTAACGTCCTCGGCTTGGAAATTTCTGAGCGACTAGCTGACTTGTAAAATGTTTGGCTTGCTTCATTTAACTGCTGGTTCTTAAGCACAACCATGAGGCAAATCATAACTCTTTGTTGATTATTTAGTGCTTGTTTGCTTTCACTCAAGTGCTTTTTGTGAACCCACCAAGACATTTCTAATGAATTCTCGTGCAATTATGCCCAACCAAGATATTCTCTAATGTTTACGTTTTGATTCATTTGCAGCAAATATTAATTTTAGTTGTGCCAATTTGGCGTTAAAATTTACCATTTTTGTCACTCAGTCCGGATGGTCATATTAGCACCAAATAGGTGGCTGTGTGCGCCATCTTTCTAAGATGTGGAATTTGAAGTATGGTTAAAGTTGATGCTTATGAAAAAAATCCGGGCCATGGCGTTCTCCGAAATCCATGTTTTTTTACATGCGTGTAATGTTTCAACACCGGCTCCCTCCTTACTTCCAAATTTCATAGATTACTTACCATCAAAGGTAAACCAAAAAGCACTCTTCCGATGGGGATTGATAGCATGCACATGTTATGTCTACAGTACTTGCCTACAAACGGGTGCATGGCAGGGTACTTTGCTAATGCGACGGCCGGCTTTGTTGGGGCATTTCTGACAAGCACTTCTCTGCACCCGTCAAATTGTTTTCTTGCCACCTCAGTGACGATGCCCCATTCCTTAACAGCTCATCCCGGCAACTTCCGTTTTCTTCTACGCTCGGCAATCTATCTCCTCTGCACTGCACGGCACAATTAACATGGATTCGCTCATTATCAACGTCAATGCTTCCGTTATCCGCTCAATTTCGAAAATAGTTAATCAACTAAGTGAAGAGACATTTGCTACCTCACTGAATACGCCGTCTGCTGCTCTTCCACGTCATACTTCCGAACAGGGTGCCGACCTCGCAGGGGACTTTTGGGCAGCCAAGCCAATTAAAGCCACTGACATCCCCATTCCCCAGGGACAGTTGGCTTATGCAGGTGAATTTTGTCCTTTTTTGTTTGTGTCATGCGCTTTTCGTGCCCAATCCTATTCTAAATGATTATGGAGGCGTGTTGCATTTGTATTTTCGGTTCAGATTCTAATGTGGCTTGTCGATCTGCCAGCCATCACTTTTTTTGGATACACAGGCTTCTTTTGCTAGCTAATAACAGTGTTCAATATTTTACTGCTCTCACACAGTGTTGTCAAATTCATCACAAATTACCAAGAATACCAGGTTGAGTAGGTCGATGTGTGTTCCCTAAGTAGTGTCATCACACAAGGATCCTTAGTTTTGGGTTTGGGAGGTGGACAATTGGTTCAAAATTCACAACTGTAGTGGATCGTGTTGATTCACGTCCAATAACCCGGTTATCACAGCCTCACACGGCCTCCTTTTCACGTCGTGCCTGTCAGTCACTGGGACCGCCTTCTCAATCGCCCCTCTTTAAGTACCACCACCACCCTCTCTACTCATCTACTTAACTGTTAGGCAGCAAAAACAACTAGGTTGAGCTGTCTAGTTAACGGTTGTGCCTCGTCCTCTCCGGTCTTCCTCATCTTAGCGGGTACTCATGCTAGCGAAATCGGCCTAGATTGACGTAGTGGCCCCGGCGTGGTTCAAGATAACATGCCGGGAACCTCAAAAACTGTGATGTCTCTTCTGTGCACACGGCATTCACAGTCCCATAATCTTAGAGGCTGGGTATCACCCACTTGCATCTACACCTCTTATAGACCCCGCAACTGAGGCTGAAAGTTGCGATGTTGCCAATCTCCTTTTGGAAGTGGACGAACGATGTCAAGAAAAGGTTAGCACTTTTCACAGTCTTACTTAATTCCACATCTCAGTCATAATTCAATGTTTACCAATCATCGTCCGACTAAGAGTCTTCATGAGTGATCCCTCTTGTCGTTAGTTTCCCTTTCTTAGATAAACCAAACCGAGGAATAGGTAGTGCCTCGTGAAGAATCTTTTTCTTAGCTATTTATCGCAAGGCTTTCTGGGCTATTTTAAATTTTAACTATCGACGTAACAATTGGCTCTACTCTGCATACCTCTTTTTCAGATACTCGTTTCTATTAAGTATGTTTGTCTCTCAATGGAGTCGCAGATCGGCCGCAAGCAAGTTCCAATGCTACTCATGGAAGCCAACATTGAGGGCGAAATAAAGTCGCCTTCCACTTCTGTACGTTTAGCGTTGTTATCGGCCTTTTATATTATTAAAGTTTGTTTCTAATCTATTTTTGATGAGGTTTTTACTATACTTTGCCCCAAAGAGTTTCGTATATTTGGGTCCACTAGTTTCCTGGCTATAGCGACGAAAACATATGGAGGTTCTTAATGGGATCACCCCAATGTCAATGTACTCCTGATTTATCAACTGAGAAGCATAGGCTCGTCTGAAACATATTCTGCTTCTCGTGTGGGCCTGAAGGTAGACAACTAGCACCCTAGCCGAATGTGACCTTTACCTTGATATCGTCTGACTCTTACGCATCGTCACTTGGTCACCTTTTTACATTGGTTACGCCACTCTTTTTCTAAGTGTGTATTGTTACTTAAATTAGCCCTACCGAAACACTTGACGAATCTGAGTCGTTTTCATCTGACCCTCTTGATTTACATAATCTAATATATGCTTTTGGTATCCATTCGCAAATTTACAGTTGGAAGTGAGTTTGAACTTTGAGCTAACCGTTTCCTACTACAACGATCATGTTAACGAGTGGGAACAACTGCTGGAGACCCTTCCGGAAGATGGTAATCGTCTGTGGTCCATGCAGTTGGAGTATACCTCGGGCGAACAAGAAGATCCGCACTCTAAAAAGGACCGCCAGACGATGTCAAATGTGAAGAATTCTGGCTACACGCTCTCTCTCCTCTCTCAGGACAATCTTGAAATTACTATCTCCAAAACCGCTCTTGACGTCCTGAGCAAACTCGGCAAGGTCAGTTCCTTTATGTACACTCCTTCCCAATCTCCCGTTTTGCCATATGTCCAATTCCGAAGCTTGAATTACCTCTGTATACTTGTTTACACCTAGTGCGGAAAAAACATGCATCATGTCCAAGAGTTATTTTAAGTGCTTAATTTTTATTCTTTTTTTTTGCGGACAAGCGATTGACTCAGTCTGCGCAGCCTTCTGCAGAAAAATCTCGATTTATGCCCTAGTGTATTTGACTGTGGTGACAACTTGATAGAATATAATTCATTCGACTGTTCACGTCTTACTTCCAGTCCTTTGAGGATGCTTACGTTTCACCGACGACAACAGTGGCTGCCAGAGAAACGGTTGCAATCAACGCGCCCTACCTGCTGCGCAACCAGACAGGTCTCCGGCTGGTGGTGCTGGTCGACGGGCAACGCCTGCGGACTACGGAGGATTCCCCTGCAGACAAGTCAGGCTCTTCACACAACCTCACCGCCGCCAAGCAAAGGGTTGGTCTCGTCGGGCATATTCTCAATTCAGGGGATAACCTTGGCTTGTATGATGCACTAATGAACAAAGCGGTACGTGGCCATTAGCTGGCACTTGACTTTTGTGAATTGACCAAATGGTCTGATGTGCCAAATCTGTCACTCGCGTTCGATCTTATCGCTAAGCGTTTCTTGGTACTCTGCCATTGAACTGCCATGTACTACTTTTCCACGCCCAGTTTGGTAAATGTACTTTTAACCACGGGCTTTCGGTCAAGTGCTCAAATGTAGGGCCAGTCGCGAACAGTGGAGCCCACACGAAAATTAGATTTGAGAATTATCGTAATCTGGGATGTAGTTGGCCATTGTTTGCAAAAGTAATTGCTAGGCACGACAGCTTCAATGCTGACTTGACTGTTTTTGTGATCAAGGTAGTTTTTCGTCGCCTGAATTTGGAGCTATGTTGTACTTGGTATCGACAAACGTGTTCATGACTTTTGTGTACGTAGCTATGAAACTGTTCTGCGTTATACATCTTATTAAAATATTTACCCCTTCAAAAGGTGCTTAGCTTAGGGAATTTTGTGTAGAAATATTGGTGTAGACGCTGTAGAGCGTCTGTTAACCCATGCTGTGTACTGCATGTCTTTCAATCTTGCCTAAACACCTGAATTTGATGCCGTTTTGTTCGAACACGTACCCGCATAATTTTTTTGCTGAGAAAACGAACCTATGGATTTTGTCCTAACTACGAGGACAGTGGTGTGCGTCAAAATAGTTGTCTAAAAATATAATAAGGTATTATATTAGCCCCCTTGTTTGTTTTAGCCAACTGTTCAGAATCTCAGGTCGTCACCCATTTCTCCACCTCGCTCCATCAACCTCGGTCTTTCCCCGGAACCTATTAGCACGGCTGCTGATTGGGGTTCTGTGGTCTCTCAGACAGCCGCTATCAAAATCCATCGTACGGCCAACTACATTGTTTCGGTTGCCTCTATTAAAGACGTCGAAAAGTGCCTACCCATTGTCGCCAATATTACCGCCTTTTTGGGCCAGAAAACTCTTTACCTACAGTCGACACTCCAGGTACGGGCTAATCTGGTGTCGTCTCAAATGGTTTTTGTCAGTATGTAAGAGTGCAGAAACATTGGGGTTGCCACCAATGTTGATTTCCACTGCCGATAGGCGTTTGAAGTTAGTGCACTTTGCTATCGTTGCTCCGACAAACAAAAAATTATAAGATCTGTTTAGTTTCGTTTGTGTCCATTTTCATGCAAAAATTACCACGTCGTTATTATATCAAGTGAGCTTTTAGATAAATAAATTACTTTGCTGATCTTTTTGAACCCTTTAACTTACCTTGATTGATCGGCTGTTTCCGATACACGATAATTCATCAGAGATTTCTATAGTATAGCGATTACAAAAATCTGCTTAAGTTGGTTTTCACTTTATTACTTTAAGTTTAACCTTTCTTACTTTCTTGTTAGTCATACTTTTAGTGTTGCAACGTACAGAGCCCAACTTTTGTCAACTCTGACAACATGAGCCAATTTCTTGGTCTTAGTGTGTTCCACGGTGTGATTGTATTTATTCCTGTTCTACGTGTCCCCATGCAAATATTACTGTCATCATTTTTATGTAGTCTTATTTGTAAAGACAACAAAATCCGTCAATGACTTTGTTGTTTGTAGCTCGTGAATGAGGCTCCTCATGCCATCAGAATCTACTCGTTCCATTCTAGTGACGGCAAGGTCACTCAAGACCTTTTGACTGTTGTTGCTGGTGGTACCACGTACCCCTTACCTGTGGAAGTTGTTACCGCGCATGAAGTCACTGGAATCCTGATGTGCCCCGATCTAGACGAGTATGTCAACTACTTTCCAGTCGTTAGTACTACATATTTGTACTCAAAATGTACTCAATAATCATTTTCCACCTAGTTAAGGGGTTTTAAAAATTCGGTGAATCCAGCACTGTTGAGGCAACCATTTCACGACCCAAAACTTGGTGGGTAGCAGTACCTAACGGCCATCCAAATCTCACAACACATAACGCTCGAATTTACGCGCCGGTTTATTTGCATCGTGTGTGTTTATTCACCCAGAACTGACGTGTCGGTCAAGACTGGTTGTAAGGCTCCTGACAATGACCTAATGTACGTGGTATGTGCTTCTCCAAAATGGTCCGAACGATCTGACGTCTGTTTTATTGATTACCAGCCTTTCATAATCTTGTTTTCTTGATGTAGGCGACCACTTGATGGCCAGTTTTTGTCCGATTTCTGTTAAGCGTCCTTTTGACCTGTGGTAGGTCGTCACGTTCGATGCGACACGTATTTACGTGGAATAATCCAAGTTAGTTCGTGGCAGAGGTGTCCGGGTAGTAAATCAAATGAAGAGAACCTGAAGATTAACTATGTCGCCTATAGAAGGTATTCATTTAATTTACCAATTAACTCACGACCTGGCACTGGGGGGAAAATTCCTCTTTGACAGCCTTAGGACCTATGGCAACCCGTATGTAACTAGGTTTATGGTCTCCTTGTGATATATGATTTTTTCCTGTACTAATCGCATCTACCTGCTTTTTAAGAGCCTCACCTTCTACCGACGTTGTCTACTGGCCCTCGAAAGCGTGCCCTCAGACTGCGAGAAGGTCAGATCGTGGAGAGACTTGCATCTACTTGCTCCCCCGTTCTGACTCCACAGGGGTGGGCGAATGGCCGGTGCAAAACGTGGCCTGCCCTGTTCCGTTGAAGGCGGGCGCGGGCACTGACCTCATAGTCTACAATTACACTGTCACCATAGAACCACGCTTTTCTGACGCCGAGGAGGAGCGCCCAATATTCGTCCAGCCGCCTTCCGCAGCGGCTCTCGAACCAAGTGCCTACAATATGGTCATCCGTACACCCGCCTCTCTCCACAACCACCTGCCCGTGCCCATCAATCTTGATGCCAACGTAAGTCCACTATTTCAGAGGGCTAACAGTTTTATATCTTTGTTAATTCAACTGTTTCCCTCATTGACTTGACCGGGGCGGTGCATTCTGCTACTGCATAGTGAATAATTTATTGTACCTATATTTTAACAGTTATTTTCGATTGTCCGAACACGACTATTCCTATATTGAAATCTTCCTAATGTAGGGGCATTTATTAAATTGCACTAACATGATTTGACAGAACTTTTCAGTACCTGTGAATTGTCTTTTACAATAATGAGTCTGCCTTCCTTAGTTTAGACATGATAATTTGCGGCGATGATGTATACGTTAATAAACAACTTAATTGCACGACAATTAGCAGGCGACCCACGACGTCCTTGCCGGCCAGTGGTCTCCGTGGCCCCTCGTTATTTGCTCAAAGTGGTGTTCTAGTTAGCCCGACTGCTGCCCAAAGCGTAGTTTCTGTGTGTGCAAGCTGTTGTCGGTGCCTGTGCAGATTGGGGTGAATTTGACTTGGTAATGTGGCTGAAGAACTCGTGGAGAGTTTTGATCGGCGGCATCAGGCAAAATGGGCGGTTGTGCTTGGTTGTAGTCATGCCTCCGAACGGTGATAATGTGGAAACAATTGCTTCCGATGAGGCACAAGCATTCGCGTCGTCTGCATCGGCACAGGTGGAGGGGGAGGGTTGGTAGTGAGGTGAACTGACTGATCGTGTCCGTGACCTGAGATCTTGGTGTGTCCTTACTGAGCACGTGACTTCAAAAATCGTGGAAATGTTTTATGCAGGCGTTTAAGTGTGCGCTAAATTGAGCAGGAGGTCGCTGTTGATGAAATCGAGCACCGGACAGTGCCAGTTCATCGAAAAGTAGTTCTAGCAAGTTGCATTCAAGGCAGTAAATGTGGCGTGATGTTCCGGGAAGGGAGCCTGTTAGTGTACGTTCGATGTAAGTGTTGAAGAGGCATGTTTGGAGCAAGTTGTGCGTTCGTTTGGTTGTAAGGGAACTCACACGGAAGGACTTTCCCTTGTATTGTGAGTGATCACATTCATGTGATTACGTTAATTGGCCCCTGGACCGTCCATTCAGAATATGTAGATAACTAGGTTGGTTTTTTAATTAGGGTGATCTACTTGTACGGAGGAGCAAATATTTGGGGAATCAATGGACCTCGTAACATTTATGTGTTAGTTTCTTGTACTTATTTGTCGGAATTCGCTTTTTTTGTTTTTGGAGAATTCATACTTTCTACATGTGTATGTAGTACCTTGGAGAAAATTTGTTTTGCTTCTAGGAAATTCGGTCGGAAGTTGAAGCTGGCCACACTTCCGTTCTGTACACCGTGAATCCCACTGAGTTTTCATTCAGCATCTACGTAAGTTAGATATTACCTAATCAGATATTTCTTATTTCGTCGGTCTTTCCATTACAGTTCACGTATGATAAGAAGGACTACTTCGGTCGCATTGTTTTCAACTCCAAGACTGAAGAAATTTCACTTCTCCAATGTGAAACTCACGATGGCTACGACATCTCCTTTCTTGTACGTTATTTGGATTTTGCCTTTCTCAACCATGCAAATGACATCCACCATGCCTTTGATCCTTTTTGAGTCACTTTTATTTAATCAGAGTTTTTCTGATTGTGCATACTTTTGTGGAACTGTGTCTTAATGAACCGTTGACGTACTTTTTTACCCCGCAGAATCTGGGCCTGCGTTGTCTGCGTCGCCTGGGTCATGTGGATTTGACCGTATACTCTTCCTATTGGATGGTTAACAAAACTGGCCTTTCTCTTTCATACAAGGTAAATGTTATTTTAATGCACAATATTTTCGAGTCTCCTGATTATTTGTATCGATGTACTCCGTATTTCTTACACCTAGAGATGTTTTCGCCTTTCCCATCCTTCCTAATGTCATTCACTCGCTTCCACCACTATAAATTTCAACTATATGTAAAATTATTGTCGTACCTGTTATTTGAGCCATGTTAGTAGTTACTTTAAAGCTATTCGGTCTTTTGAGGCCAACCAGTTGCCTCCTAGTTGCGATTTTCAGTGTGTAGTGTCAGTCCAATACCTTTTCGACGACCAGTTTGAAGTGATTTTTGATTTTTTTAAAAATTAAGATCCCACGTTCGCCTTCATTCGTTTATGTTAAAACCTGAGATGGTGACGAATCAATTAATCACCAACACGGTAGATTCGCGCTTTGATATTTAGGTGATGGATGTGTGTTTACCGACATGCAAACACGGGGCACCAATGTACATGAACACTTGTTTAAGCTAGTGATTCCTGGCAGCCAACATATGCGACAAGTTCAAAATGCGAGGAAGTAAAAAGTCGGGAGGGACTCTTCCACGAATTCCCGACTGGTAATAACCTGATATTAGAATGGCATTAGAAAAATTATAGTGATCATCTTCACCGACCCTATTTCTCTCTTTGTTAAAATAACTGACGCCTGTGGTCTCACTGCCTTCCAGACCACAATACTTAACTCACAATTCTGCCAATGCTGTTGCTGCAATTGCTGTCTTGGAATTTTGCCAGTTTCCATTCTCGTGAGTCTTGAAAGGTTGTAGTTCAGTAGCGCATTCGCACACTCAAGCACACACAAAATCGTAAATCGGGCATGATGGACGGAACGTAAATCGCGCCTGCTCTTTTCACATTTTCCTTGTTTTCGCTTTATTACACCACCATGCTCTAAAGGCATCGGCCAGTTGGTTTCGAATTGGGCATGGGTTCTCACCAAAGGGGCTGGATGGAGTAAGTTTTGAGTGATTTGCTTTTGCGATGAAACTAACCTACTCGCCGCTGCTTTGTTTTTCGTCATATACTTAGTTGCATGCACAACACCAGTCCACTTAGGTGATTAATTTTGTCATGTTTTAGGATCAGACCGAATTCGAAGTGCATCACCCTGCCAATTTCCCTGGCGTTCTGCTCTACTCGGTGGTATCCAAGGCAATGTTTCTTCAGCACAAGGTAAGCCAAGCCCCCAACATTTGAGGTGTGGCATTCTTTTTCATACCAAAATGGGTTAAGATGTTTTACGTAACGCCCAGCACTTTTGTTGGATGACGAAATTTTGAATCTGTCTCTGTGCATCTTGTTCCTTTGATTGTGGAGTACTTTGAAATTGTAATGGCTTCGCTCCCAAAAGACGGTGAAAGTAAGCATCTCTTCGTGGTAACTGGTTGTCAAATCGGTAGATTGAATAACATAGTCCATTCTAGAGGGACCACCGCTGCTGCATCACAAGTTCCATTTTTTACCAAGTGCACAATATTAATCCTTTTGTAACACATGATTTCCACATTAAGTCGTAATAACCATCAGGAAATATAAATCAATTAGAGCTGTCTACATGTCATTCCTGACGAAATCAAGGTGTTTTACCTAACCTATGACACGAAGACGATCATTTCGAAACTTTACCTATTCATTAGCTAGTTTACCTGAACTTTCGAGGTTCCATTAACGAGGGGTATCCTGTAATTCCTCTGTGCCTTCAGTCCTCTAGTCAACTTCAACTGCATTCCCTCAGTGATTCTGATCCAGAAAAGGGTGATAGCAACACATCCGCCTCGGCGACACCCCAGCATCATTGGCACAGGCCTTTCAAAGCCAGACATCGTGGACTCCATCTGGCTCGTAAAGTCAAGGTGGTTATTCACCCCTCCACAGCCATTTTCCACCCCCATTTCTGGCGTGCTTATTGCATTTCGTGGTTTTGTCTAATCCCCGAGTGCATTTTCACTATTATGCATGTCCTTAAATCACAATGAAGCCATGTTCTCTGCAGTGTACTTGTTTTGATGCCCCTCGTTTTCTTGATCACTGTCCACCAATGGATCTGCAAGTCTACGAGTAAATGTTAAGTCAATTCTGGACTGTGCTACTACGATTTTCTAGCAAGGTTGGATTTCACTGTGTTTTTACTGTCTGTCTGTCTTTCGGTCACTATTAATCCAATCAGAAGAGTCGATCTATGAATTCGCTTATATCGCCCTGGTCCCGATTGCACCTGCACGCTCGATAAAGAATGTGTCGCACGCAACCCTTCCAAGCTCAAGAGTGCTCACACCACTCCGGCCCGAACATTGCAGCACTAGAGTGTTCAACGTACCCCTCGTTTAACCTCACTGTTGTGTGTTGTGGCTATTATTTTGAATACAGTCATTTCCCCCTCGTTTTAAAGTGAAGTGGGTATGTGTATCTTTTCACTGTGCAATTTCGAGCCCTCTTTTCAAGCTCTTACTGTTCACAATCGCATGACGTTGTAGATTTGAATGCACCTCTACCCCTCTTTCTTAAGTCACCACTTTGTAGTATCTTTGTTTCATTATTGAAAACATAATTTTAGATCGTCATGCGGACTGACGACTCACTCTGGTCCCCGAAATTCTCACTGGACACTGTCGGAAGTTGGGACCGGGTGCACTGCGAGGGAACTCTTGGGAGGTCTTACGAGGTCGGTGGTCTGTCCGGAATTCGTGAAATTTGTGTTCTAAAAACATCAGCTTTGCTTTGTCAGCACCTTCAAAAGAACCGTCATGGTGATGGTCTGATTATGTTTCAAAAAAATTATAAACTGCCTGATTTGTGCGCTAAGCCAATTCGCTGCGGTCTGCACAGCTTTCCTTTACATCACATTAATGAAAGTCCCCTGCACAATACCAGTTCGACAGCCTGATCATATGCTTATATATCATTCATTTTTGGCTCCAGCAAACGCCCCTCTGCAGGCTTCTTTAGTCGGTGGAGGCAACGCTTGACACATTCAAAGATTTTTATTGTCTATAAAACGACGTTCATTATGCACGCACTGCATTACCGTTTCGTCTGCTTTGTTCACCTTGTAGATTGGTGTCAAGATCAATCTCTCTGCTTCTGGTCTCACGAAAATCATCACCTTTATGCCTTACTTCATGATTGTAAACAAATCACCGGTAAGGCCAGTTTTTATTACATGTGGGTCTTTGTTTGGAAATTCGAATCAAAGCAAACCAGGAATTATGTCAATGTTTTGTGACCATACTTCACTCCATGCGCTGCTAGTTCTTAAATTAATATTCGTCATCACAAATGTAGACCCATCCAAATTCTTGCACGATAGTCGCTTAAATCTAGTGACAATTATTGCCTCTTTTCTATTAATCGATTTAGATAACGATCGAGTGTGCTCAAGTTCGGGATACCACTCAAAACATCACCGACTCCTGGATCTCCGTAGAGGCGGGTGACGTGAAGCCTTTTTGGCCGGCCACTGGTGACACCCAAAAGATGCTTATGACCTGTCGTTTGGACAAAAACACAACCTCCAATCACTTCCCTCTCTACGAGTCCATCACTATCCTTCTGAAGTTGCCTAATCCTGTAGGAAGTTACATACCAGTGTTCTTTAGTTTGTTCAAGACCGTCAATGCGTCATTTTGTTTTATGATTCTAGCTTACGCTCCCTGAATATTATAGTTGCTGCTCAGGTATTGTTGCCTACCACCTACTAGGACTTTAGTATTTAATGAATAATTTTTTTTTGAACACGTACCGTGTTGTTAGCGCCCTAGAATGTTTTCTTAAATTTCTTTTTTTAGTATATTGGTTTATACGCTGACGTGCAGACGACAAATGAGGCAACAGTTATCAATCTTCAGCTTTACAAAGAGGGAATGGCATTAGTTCATATCATCAACGATTTGGATGGTCAACGGGATGTTTTCTTCTATCAGAAGCAAGTTGCCAATGTTTTGCTTACATGCCCATAAGTCTTTCATATTATCCATCTGTTAACAAATTTGATGAAAAATTGCAATGAAAGCTTATTCTTTACTGTTGCTTAAAAATGAGAGCTCTGGTCTAACCTCTAGACAAACCGTTGGACAAGAGGACGGATGAAGCAGTTACATACGGCACTAGGCTATGATTTGTCATCTTACTTGTCTGAATTGTGTTCTCTTCACCGAATTAAAAGGATCGAAGCTGCGCAGAGATTTTATTTTCACTAACTGCTTAGTCAACTATCTCCTTTCTTCGTTCCAGGGGGACGGGCGTAACGCACACTCTAAAGGCTGGTTATCGAATCTTCTATACATGGGACGATGCAAGCAAACCACGACAATTCTTTGCTTACCTCGGCAATCCTCAGAAGGCAAAACAAGTCGAGATAACAACAGTAGGCTCCCGCTTTACGCAACTCCTCAAGCCCATGCTTTTTCCTTGTTTGCGAATGTTGCCTGAAGTGGACTTGTGGTAATAAGTAGGGTGCCTGTACATTTGCTAAGTAGGTTCATGTCGGACCCACCGCTCATAACCTATAGTTAAGCCTGACTTCGGAAGGGGTCTTCCTTACTAGAGAAGAGCCCTTAGGCAAGCCAATGAGAAAAAGTTGTTTGCGCTATGTTTACGCTAATGAACCTCAAAATAGGGACTTTGCCTCCGTGGTGTCCAACCAATTATTGTACTAGCTCTGCTGTGGGATTTCGACAAGGATAGATAAAGTCTGTGTATTTAAAATGCCAAATTTAGTTTATTCGACCATCAAAGCTCTAAGCTGTCTGTATTCATTCGTCTCTTTTTTTATAGGACAGTTACGAGGTATTTGTGTTCGAAAATACCAACATTCATGTGGTGTCATTCCTCTCTAAGTTGCAAAGGACTCTTCTGTTAACAACTGATCCTATGTTAGCGAATCTAACGGCCAAGGTAATCTTGATTGTTTCCTTGTTTAGAACTAATTTCTATTCATATCCTTTAAGTGGTCCAGTTTTCCGGACCCCAACTGACATCGCTTTAAAGGTTTCTCGCTTAGTCTACTAAGATCTTTCCGTTACCCCTTTCCTGACCATATGAACTGGGTTCTCATACTTCGATACGCGCATTGGTTTGGACAACTTTGACTAAAACTCATGCAAAGTTTTCACACCATTTTCAAACTGTTGCGTTCCAGGTGCATTCCATAAATTCGTATTCTGTTTCTTCCATAATGTCTGGGTGTTCCTACTGATGGCCACGCAAAGATTACCTCATGGAAAGTCACGGGTATTGGGCACACTTTTCTATCATTATAATGACTTCAAGGTCTACGACACTTTTCCTCATGCGTTTGATCGGACAATTTTCCACTGGAATGGTTCACCACCCTGCAGGTTTCTATGAGCACTTACGTGACAAATGGTTGTTTTGTCATTTCTGTTAGTTCGGAGAACTGGAGTCGGTGACCGACAGCATATCCTTGGTTCTGCAGTCTATTGGCATTTCTATGGTGGCCAATCAGCTTTGCCAGGAAATTTGCTACATCTCGATTCGCAGGTTTGTAATGAAATATTTTTTTTGTTTAAAAGTGCCCAAGAACGGCTTTTCTCTGCTAGTAAATTCTTAATTTCACCATTTCTTTCAAGACTGTGGGCTCTCTGGGGTTACCAATGAAATCAAGTGAGGGATTTGTCTTCTCGATAATGCAGAACTTTGTCCGTCATCATTTCTCCTAAGCTTGAATCAGACTCTTTGCTGAATGTGGTTGGCTCTTCGACAGTGACCTTCTTTAAGCCCTGAGAATTATTCAAGCTGTGACGTTTTTGTCACAAAAATTGTTTTTTTTAGTGGCCTACTTGCAATGTTTCGATAGCATCTAACATTTCGTGTGCAACATACTGTCACTTTTCAACCAACTTGTTGGGAAGACTTCATAAAAAAATTCCCGGAAGGCATTGGGTGTTCAGAAATTTATTGAGTAATTTTTTTTCTCAGAGCTAAAATTGCCAAACAGGTTTGAATAATACTGGGAGGAATTGTGACGGCAAATTCGAAATATCAATGGCTCATTTCACTTACTAAGCACCTGAAACACAAGTATTTAAGAATGCAAACCTGCACACATCGTTTCAGTGGGTTTAGTGGGAGCATTTCCCCATTGGAGTATCTTACAGTGAGAGTAAATTTAGGTGTACATGCGCATCACCACGCCGTCTTAGAAGGTGACTTGCTGGCGGAATGAATGACAAGGCGACCCACGACGTCCTTGCCGGCCAGTGGTGTCCGTGGCCCCTCGCTATTTGCTCAAAGTGGTGTTCTAGTTAGCCCGACTGCTGCCCAAGGCGTAGTTTCTGTGTGTGCAAGCTGTTGTCGGTGCCTGTGCAGATTGGAGTGAATTTGACTTGGTAATGTGGCTGAAGAACTCGTGGAGAGTTTTGATCGGCGGCATCAGGCAAAATGGGCGGTTGTGCTTGGTTGTAGTCATGCCTCCGAACGGTGATAATGTGGAAACAATTGCTTCCGATGAGGCACAATCTTCCGCGCCGTCCGCATCTGCACAGGTGGAGGCGGAGGGTTGGTAGTGAGATGAATTGACTGATCGTGTCCGTGACCTGAGATCTTGGTGTGTCCTTACTGAGCACGTGACTTCAAAAATCGTGGAAATGTTATATGCAGGCGTTTAAGTGTGCGCCAAATTGAGCAGAAGGTCGCTGTTGATGAAATCGAGCACCGGACAATGCCAGTTCATCGACAAGTAGTTCTGGCAAGTTGCATTCAAGGCAGTAAATGTGGCGTGATGTTGCAGAAAGTGAGCCTGTTAGTGTACGTTCGATGTAAGTGTTGAAGAGACATGTTTGGAGCAAGTTGTGCGTTCGTTTGGTTGTAAGGGAACTCACACGGAAGGACTTTCCTATGTATTGTGAGTGATCACATTTATGTGGTTTTTAAAGTTTCCTACCTTAGCTTTGGTTCAACCTATCGGAACCTTTTTGTTTTTGGAAGTCAATCCGTTTGACGATTTTCCGTTTTGTCTCCTTGTAGTTCCGATGTGTTATGGAATAAGATGAAGCGCGGCAACCAAATGAAGCCGTTGAAACCGGACGTGAGCGAAGCCCTCGAGTCCCTCTACACGTCTTTTCTGAATAAACTTCAGCTAGGGGAGGAGTTTCCCAAGCGCATAACCCTTCCACAGTCGATCCGACCCACGACCACCGTGGACATGAATCAGATGGTCATGCTGGAGCCCGAGAACTGCGCTCTGCAACGCACCTTCGAGCCGGGCATTCAAATCCAGTATCGTGCCTCGCTTAACCAGATGCAAATCCACGCCAAAATCTTTCGCCTGCAGGTCGATTCGCAGCGTCTTGATTCCACCTTCCCAGTCGTGTTTGCACCTTTTCCACAGTCCGCGTCGGTTGTTGTTGAATCTGGTAATTTTTGCATTCGACGTTCATACGTATCAAACACTAGTCATTTATTCTACATTCTTCAGTTTAGGTTATTTATTATCATCCTACTTAAAATATCACATTACAATTTTTTGCATAACCTACAACAATAGCAATGAGCAATGTTTTTTATAATTTTGGTATTTTTGGTTCTGTTGGACCGATTTCGTGTTATCAAAATGGAATACTTATAACTTATACAGTAAGGTTGTGTGTCTGTGTGGTTTCTTAGATGCGTTTACATGTCGAAGTATAGTTGTGTCGGGTTTAATCTAATTTTATGATCAGTGAACGAAGTTTTTTGTGGAATCAAAATCTGCATATTTTGTTAAAATTCAGTTTTGTAAGATCTGTTTTTTGCCACAAATATTTGGCTTAATCTGGAGAATGAGATGTGCTAAAAATAGGATTTTTAAATTAGATGAGTGTAATTTATTCGAGCTGTCAGAAAATTTAATTGACTTTTAAGAATGAAGTCTGATGGATTCAATAAAGCCGCTTGCCTGAAATTATGGTTCATGTACACATTTCCTAAGACTTTAGTCCCATGTTTTATGTGATTTTGTATTGCTTACTCATGAATGAAGCTGCTAAGCTCGATATTTCCTTTAGGCCCGAAGTCACTGGTTGAGATCTTCGCCGTCATCTGTAAGACCACGGACAAAGAGGTGTATAGATTCAAGTACGTTGTGGAATACCGCATCTTGGCTCTTGCTGTTTGAATTCACGTATCTGAGCACCACGCCTTCTTTATTCAGACGCTTGGAGTGTTTGATTCAGGAGATGCAGTTCAAACTGGACCAGGGCTTCCTCAACGACATGATCGACTTCTGTTCTGGAAGCGTCACCGTCCAGGATGAGGTAAAGTGGTGGCTATTGTGTAATGTGCTTTTCTATGCCAACAATTTCACCGCCGGCACACTTCTCACTACGTTTAGCATAATCATGCCGTGCCTTTTTTTAATAAACGCCAATAAAAGGCGTTATGTTTCGCGAGTGACCAAAATCCCTCATAAGTCCAGCCCCACCGTCTCAGTGCCAGGACAAGGACAGAGCACAGCAACCTTCACGCGATCCTCTCACTGATAGAATTTGTCAGTAGGAACGCAGAATTAATGTGACCATTTAGGCGATGGAACGAAACAAACACTGCAGACTATGCGTGCTCATTATTTAGAGCGTCCCTGCTCTATTCTGTTGTACTTTGTTCAGAACGGAGTCAAAGCTGAGAGTAGTAAATCTGTTTAAAAAGTACACTCGAAGTCAAATGAGGGGCTTCACCTCACGTATTTGAGTTTGTCAAATCAGCTAAAGGAAGTTCCGAAGTGCCCTAAGTTGCGCCCCCTTTTATAAGTTTCCATAGCCTCTTGTGGTCTGGCGTTTTCGTTATGGCAAACACCCCCTTTTCCGTTGGTCCTTTCAGCGCCCTTTTAATTGATTCGCATATAAACTAATCATTGGCAGCAGCCAACATCACCCAAGCCTTGGTTTTCGGTGTTATTTTAGTGTGTGTTCTGATGGGAATCAGTCGAAACTAGGGTAGTTCACGATTTGTCTGACCAAAGTAGAAATTCAGGAGATCGTTGCACCAGTCTTTTCGGGTTTTGAAATCTGAAGGATTCGTTGATAATTCGAAGAATGAAGTCAATACGTTTAAATCTGGATTATTCCCTCCCAAGCCACGTTCGCATGTTTCGTTAGATTTTTAAACAATCCATGATCTTCCGCCTTAGGGTTGCTTGAAATCTTCCACCAATTTACTGGAAACTTTCTTTGGTCAAATTAAAATCTACTTACTACTCAAAATGTTGTATTTCTTTTTTCACAAACATGCTCCACTCTGTGGAAATTTGAACTGTTCCCTTGAACTTTGTGTAGATTCTTTTTTTATATTTCTAACTTAGCAAAGGTGACTTGCAACAGCACATTTGCTGACCTTTTTAGTCACTTGTACCGTCATAATCAATTTCGCTTAAGAAGATGGTCTGAACTATTAAAAATTTTAAGTTCGTATTGTTTCAATGGAAACTCAAAAAGTTATTTTTTTTTGAAAAAATTGGTCAAACTCTTACGCTTGAATTTCGCTTCTCACTGTAATAATAGTTATCAGTTTTGTGGTCAACTCTGTAAAAAAAAAGATGCGGCGGTTAATTTAAAAAGCATCTAGTTTACCCATCACTTCTGTATTTCCCGCTAATATCGACAGTAGGCTCCGGGAACAGCATTTCGATGCTTTATTGTATTCCACGAATAAATTTTCTACCTAAATTTCAGTAGTGCCGAAAGATTTCTATATTTGGTCCTTTTTTAACAATTGTCTGACTTGTATTTGTCCGTTTTTTGGCATCCTGAGTAATGATTAAAACGGATTTTCCTTTTCCAGCTGGAAGGTTTTCTTTCTGATCAGAAGTTGACGCGTGGCGAACTTGTTGATGCTCCCGTGGTGAAAGACGTGCTGTATAGCGGCAAAGAGTCAATCATCGACTATATGCACATTTCGCCGATTAAGGTGCGTTTGTGTAAATTGGGGACACGCTGTGGTTGTTGCGTTGGCAGTAATTCAGTCGCACAACGTTTTTGATGTCTATGGTTGCCGTTTGTAACATTGCCCTACTTTCAGATGCATGTCAGTTTCTCGTTGGTTGGAGGTTCTCAAGAAGGTCAGCCCAGCGCACTCCATAGCGATGTCGTCAAACTCTTCCTCCAGTCTCTCGGAGTTGCCCTAACAGATGTGCAGGATGTCGTCTTCAAGTAAGTTATCTGACTGGTCACTTCACCACCTCCGAGCCTTCCTTTAGTAGCATGGTTGCCCACCCCTCTTGTTAGAAGAATTTAATGTGGGTGGTGCCATGACATTCTTCACAGCTCGATTCTTCTTTTCAAGTCCAAACCCTTGCTGTGTTTAGACATCTTTGTAACTTATCGTGTTTGAAATGTCTACTTTGCGTTGCTGGTATTAAATCCAATCGGTCTTATACGAGCTCTCTCGTAATACCTTCACATTATGACTATGCATGCTGCTCGCATATTACAGATTAGGCTACTTCGAGCGCAGGGGCCGGATAATGTCCTTCTCCAAAATCCTAGCTGAGATGGCTCGCTACTACACTGGTCAGGCAATAAAGCAAACCTACGTACTCATTCTCGGCTTGGACGTGATCGGGAATCCCTTCGGTGTTATTCGAGGCATGGCACAGGGCGTTGAAGACCTCTTTTATGAGCCAGTCAAGGTAGGGCTTTGCCATCTCTTAAGGTGACTGGTGCTGTTTCCTATGTTGATGCTTTGTACGTCTTAGCAGCTACACCATGCTCGTAAAGTTTCGTGATGAACTTTTTTCCTGTTTATTGTTTTTGTTTGCATGTGCCTTGAAGCAACGTGTGCATTGATTATCTATGAACCAACAGCGTTATCTAAAGTCAGTTTCGAGCCATCTTACTTTATCGGTATGATGCATAGCTGTATACCGAAATTCCGAATACTAAGAGATAGCTGCATTTATGTTTTGTCCATAAAACAGGGTCGCTTTTTTCGACCGAAATAAGATTGAAACTAGGCGAAAAAAATGCCACACCTCCAAATAAAGCAACCAAACAGTTACTACTAAAATGCCCAACCAAAAGACTACTAGCAGGCATTCTATGAGGCTTAAACACCCAACAAACCAATGAAAGTATGTACATGTTTCCACTATGGTTTCCGTTTAGAAAGACGCCTTTCTGTTCACTTGGGGCAAGATGCTAACACCAGAAATGACGACATTATGAATACGTACTGCAGTAGAAATCGACTGGAATTCGCTGCATGCGTTTTTGTTAGTTAGTGTTTGCTCACTTGGCCAAAGTAAAGCTGTTTTAGAAATGCTGACCCTATTTAAGGAAAAGCGCCATCGCATAAGCTGTTAATTTGATTAATACCTGATCCTCCTCCTCCGTATCGTAGTTATGTATACACGTGCGTTCAGGTCCTTAACTTTGGTACCATTTTTTTCCTAATTTTTTCAGGGTGCTGTTATTGGTACAGAGGAATTCGCGGAGGGTGTTGCGTTGGGTGTTAAAAGCCTATTCGGACATACTGTTGGTTAGTATTTGTTGAATTATTTCTCTCTGTTGTGATGTAAAAGTCAGTCTCATTCTCCTCATTTTGCGTAAATTAAGTAGGTGTGTCGAATGCCCTTTCCTTGAACTGCGTTCGAATATTTGGCGAATGAATTGTCCGTTTTCCCGTTTACTTTCGCTTTAGTCCCTAAAATGACCAATTTATTTATGTACCAAACAATTAAATGTTCCCGTGGGTGGAATAACAGCATGTATGTGATTGGAGAGCATTTGCTCCTCAATAAGCCCCCAATAGACCAACTATGAAACCGCCAATCTATGTTTTGAACCAGGTCAGCTGTACGTAATCAAGCTATTTGTGGTCGGATCGCAAGAGAAAATTAAATTGGCTTTAAGTGCTAAATCGACTCATGCCGGTTGCCAGAAATGGTGTCAAAACCTGTTTGCTTATCGCCTGGCAGAGTCGACTACTCTAAATGTTCTTGTCTGTGAATTTGATGCAAATGAAAATTCATCCTCACAAACACAATGGTCTGGTGTTATTAACATGTTTGCATGGGAATTTGCGAGCTTAGAATACGCTTGCTGTGCTTATTAAATCAGGCGGAGCGGCTGGTGCGATGTCACGCATCACGGGCACCCTGGGCAAGGGCGTGGCGGCGCTCACCCTCGACGACGACTACAAGCGTCGACGACGCGAGGAGATGACTCGGGCGCCTGAAAACTTCGGTGTTGGCATGGCCCGAGGCGGCAAAGGCCTGGTTATGGTATGTGCTCTTCTTGCACTCTTCCAACCTCTCGTGTTTTGTCTCTTTACCTGTGATTCGTCCACTGATTTTATGTACCGCTGCATCTCTCATCTTTCTCAGTTGCGTCCTCAATTCATAGTCTTTCCACCCCATTTTTTTTCTCTTCCTATCCTTCAGGTCTCTTATTGGACTCACGTTACTGTTGTTTTATTACAAATTGCCGACCTCTGTTCTTATCACAATTGGTATCCTTCATTATCACACTTCTCCCATTTATTTATTCTGCTTGTCTGTTATCGATGTAAGCACTTTATCTGTATAATGGAAATTCACTTTCACATTTACCCTACTACATTCCTATGTACATTGCTCTCTCCATGTTCAGGTGGTCGCACAACTCTATGAGTGTCATCCTCAAGACCCCAGTAAAACATTTGTCCTTAATGATCCCTCATTCTCCCGCGTTTTAGGGTGTTGTCGGTGGAGTTACGGGCATCATCACACAGCCGATGGCTGGAGCTAAAAAGGATGGTGTGGAAGGCTTCTTCAGGGGTCTGGGCAAGGGTCTCATTGGCACCGTGACCCGGCCCATTTCTGGAGTTGTCGACTTCGCCAGTAGCTCTCTCGAGGGCATCAGGCGGTAAGCAGTAGCGATGTTGTTAGATTTGTTATATGCTTGGCCTCCATTCCCACACCAATGTTCCGCTTTCACATTAAGATTAAACGCTCTTCATGGAAAATGTCCTCTGTCTTGCAGGCGAGCATTCTTTCCGTTCGAAAGTCTTGTGAATTGGGTTGGGCTGTAGCCACCCCGAACCGTGACCAGGTTATAAAAAATAAGCTCAATTTAGGCTTTTTGCCCCGTAGAAGTTACCTAGGTTAGGCCCTGTAGCCTATCCCCAAGGGCCTCTTCCATTTTTTACATAACCAACCGACATTCTATGTTAAATTGTGGTCACTTTCTTTACGAATATTCTGCATTAAAATTTTTCTGCTGATTCTGCTAGAGTCACCTCCACTTCAAAAGATGTTCTTCCTGTCCGACCCTCCCGATTCATCGGTCTTGATGGAGTCATTCGTCCATACGACCGCAACGAAGCCGAAGGGAACGTCCTTCTTAATGTATGTTAATCTACATATTTGGGTCTCAGGTGTAACTCGGTGATGTCTGTTTTGATTCTTTTGCCTGGTTTAATTTTAGCAATTTCGTGACAAATCCACCTCGGAAGAATATGTCTACCACGTACCAATAAGACGGCCTAAAGGTGTCTGCCTGTTGACTACTGAGTAGGTTTTAAGCCTCTTTTTGTGGACTGACATTTTCACCGCACTACAAATTTCACCATTTTTACACAATATCTGAATCTAACTAATGATTCGTTGCGGTAAATCTAATTGAAGCTGTCTAATCGGTCGTTGAGCGCTAGTGTCTGGACTCAATGCCACAGAGCTCGGCAATAAGTATTTTGATTGGGTGAATCGCATTTGAACTAGAAGGTGCAATCTACAGGTTCTAGATAATCTGATTGAATCCTGTGTTAAACAGTGCGTGGTAGTGTTTCAATAACTGCCATCAGAAGTGCGTCCGAAGTGGGAGTATACGAATTCATTGTATAAGATTGATTCACCACCTGCCCAACACAAGGCCTCGTTCAGAGAGGCTTTGTTGTCTCAGCCAAAGAGCCAAGACCAGTTACGAAATTCCTGTGTGTGTGCGAAGCTTCTGCATGCTCAAGCGATATTGGTGCAATGAATTAAGAATGCTTAACATTGATCAAGGAGTTGTCAGTGTGGACTAGTGTTTTCTTCGGGATGTTGTCGCCAGCGTGGAATTGTGGACAGAGTAAGTAGAAAAGTCACAAATTTCAGTGCGAGGAAGCAAATTATCTTGGGAAGTGCTGACTTCCCTCACGTGTAGTCGACAGTAAAGTCGTATTTTTGTGGAGGCCGTGCACTCACTGTTAACTGTGTACACGAACCTCTTTGGTGGTAAATTTTTAAACACCTGTTTCGTGCTCTCACATTCTAACTTCGCATTAAACAAATGAGGCGATTTTGTAAATTGTGGTTTTGTTTATCTGATTCCTATCATCAAACCAAGTACAGGGTCAGTAGTTTGTATATCGAAAAAATAAGTTGACTCGATGCAAATTCCATTAGTTGGCAGGAAATTTTGTCTATAACCTCTTTCGTGTTTTGCTGTACTCATTGTATTCTTTTAGACGAATTTTGGTAATAACAATGAATGAGATGTTGGGCAGTTGCACCCTCGACTGGGATGTCCCACTCTCACTTCTGAATGGCGTGCCACAACAGTATGATGGTGGTCTGGAAATTAGGCTAAGCAAGGTTTCGAAGACGAAGCTATTCGCCAGTACGTCTAACACAAAGCAGATTGAGTGCTCCGTGGATCACGCCCGGGTACGTTGCTCATGGTCTCATCCCATGCACCGGCGTTTGTTACCGCGCTTGCCATCAAGGCCAGAACTTAGACTAATTGTTGGCATTATCGACCCCTAAAGTGTTGTGAGGCTGGATTCGTGTCTCCCTTACTGGAATATATATGAAAATTCTGATTGCGTAGGTTATGAAATTTGATCATGGCTAATTATGCCAGCTGCAGTCTACGCTTGTTGACTTCGGCCGGCGTTCAACGCATTCGCTATCTATGTAAAATATGCGCCACGTGGCCTTCTATGTTTGGCAGGAAACCGTTCTTAATTGTGACAGTTTTAACAATGGTGTTCGACTGGCCTTTAAAAAAGTAACCTAATCATATGTCGTGAGTGGTATACCTGTTATTGACAAGGTGGAATATTGACATATCTAATTCGTAAGTACTTTTTTTTAACTTACTTGTCGTGGACATTTAGGAACATCACTCAACACAGAAAAAAACCTGCTCCGTATATAATCAAGTAACTGAGAAGTTTCGGCATTTTCTCGTATGAATATCCCTTCTATGTTTCGGAAGTCGTACCTCGCTTTCATAACCAATGGGTAATCAACCAAAATATTTTTCTTCAATTTTAGCGGATGCTTTGGAAGATACGGAACGTTTTGGGTGAAGGCACCAGCGCAATGTAGTTTGTTGGATGTGTTTGCCAGATTTACCGAATCTGATCTATTTTTAGCTGTTCACCCATCCTACGTCTTTGTACTACGGTCATAGAGTCCTTTACCGTCGTTCTTAATTCACCTCCTGCTTGCTGATATCCAATTTGCTTTTATGTCGCATTCGAACTTTTAGACAAAATGTTTCATATTCATTACTTCAATCCTTGCTGTTTGCAATTTTGTTTCGTGGTCGCAGTTGGAAGGTCCTAAGGTGTATGCTGGACTGCGCATGTGAAGGATTTGTTGGCGTAAATAGACTATATGCCGGTTTCGAAAAACCATCTGTGTAGGCGAATTGACGTTTCTGCGGAAAAGTGTGGGCGCTTTACATAACTACTCTGGTGTCTCGCTAACGTGGGCGAATTAAATTGATGCATATTTTAAATCATATTGACGCATCTTACAACTACTTTTTAATGATGTGGCACCTACATTCTTAATATGATTATACTGTCGCTTACAAATGAGGTATTAATCAAGAGAATTCGGCGAAAGACCGTAAAACGTTTAACACACACGTTCTGAAAAGTGGCTACTACCTTTGTTCTCCAAGTCGCATAACGTCACCACTATAATACATTTTTACTATTAATCATGTCACTGACGTGAATGGCGATTTACGGGGTTGTGGCCATCAGCTCTTAGCTTGTCAAGTTCTGCCATTGAGTAAGCTGAAAAGCTCGGGCATTTCATCGCACGAGGTCGCATTTTAATCTTCCTTGCCAAATATCAGTGCTGTACATATTCATTCTACTCCGCAAACTCATCTGGCACAATTCTAAACAAATAAGTATTTAGGAATGCGAGTGGTTTATGGAGGTGCCTGTATTGTTGAATTGGTAAAGTTGATGGTCGCGACCACAAACTTCCAGTTTGTTCGTATTCAAGGCATCGCTATTCTTAATTTTAAATGTCAATTGATGATAAAAGAGGTTCTTAGCGTGGCCGGCGACATGCTACGAGAATGGGGACATTGTGTCGGATTGTAGAATACCCGAATACAAGTATGAAGAAGACTGGTAAAGCAGAACCGACTTTATTGACCATCATAAGCCAGAATCTTACGTCGGGCGCCATCCAGCCGAGTCCACCACGCTGGCTGCCCCCTTCATTATTTACTTCTCATACGTGTCTATTTCTGGTTGGCTCTGGCTCTTCGTCACAGGCCATTCGAAAGCATAAAGACAGAAGATTGGCTGAGGTCGGCGTGATCCAAGATGTCTGCACCCTTATCCGTTGCTTGGCAAGTCGGAATCAATCTCGCTCACCGCCAGAAGTCGGCATTCGTAATTCCATCTGGGTCTGTGAGTTCGAAACTATACACTTCGTGCTAGCGAGCACCCCAGCAACATCTAAAAATAAATTAGCCCTGGCCTACAAGGGCTAATACCACGAGATTGTCTCGAATATACGAAAAACGTGATAGTTCACGCGAGGGACGGTGTTCAGTGCTTGAAAAATATCTTCGAGAGTCTTCGTGGGACAGGGCTAAAGCTAAACCCGGCCAAATGTACGCGCCTTAGGGATTCGGTTGTTTCTGGGCCACACATTCTAGAAAGGGGTCATCAGAACGGAATCGGGTAGGGAAAAATTTACAAGATGGTGTAGTTTTATATGACAGCAGCTTCACCGTTCTTTCGAAATGGTCCGATTGCAATTCAGGTTCATAAACGCCAAGAGACTACTATGGTAAAGGGGCATATGGTACGCCAGTTGAAGGAAGTAACCTAATCTGCATGGCTATATCTAATACCGCGGGAGAAGGTAGAAAGTTTTGACACCAGTAAGAGGGTTTATACGGTTCAAACCATTTCTACCAGTAGTGAAAGGAGACGAGAACGAACACCTTATGTACTGCGATCTACCCTCAGTAGACAACACTGTTGAGATAGCCACTGTAGAAGTTGACGAGAAGCTGGGATAGCTTCGCTCTTAAGGATGAGCAGTGTAGCGTGGAGACAGAGGATAGCTATATTGAGGTTGAGCTATTGGTCAATAGTGGCAGCATCACATGAGTAGTGATGTAATTTACGGTTGTTTGGAGCAGTGGGGTTTCGAATATCGCGCCCAAGTCCGAGTATTCAATCACCCTACGAGTTTGCATTGCTATTATCAGAAACCAAGCTAGAGCTAATGGACGGAGACGAGCAATCATGGACGACTATATAAGCAAGCCCTTGCCCACAATGGACGTATGTAGAAGTCCCAGACCTGTCCATTATACCAATATATCCATGTAACCCATCATGAGCCTTCATGTCATACGCAGGCATGCTGCGAGAAAATGAGTCGACAGCATTAACTAGTGAAAATTAACGGGGTTCACAACAAGCTCTTAAACGATATGGCTAATGTTGGTGAATGAAACTGAACGTACTAAAGGTTACTTCCTGGTTTCCATTTTGGTGAAGCATAGCTTGAAATAAGAAAGTAAAACAAAATTTTTTGTTTGAAATCGTAGCAATTTTTTATACATTATTGTGTTTCAAAGCAATATTTACTATATACCTTGCCCACAATGACCTGAAATCAGCCCCAAAAAAGATGACTTACAAAAACTGCCACGAATATTTACGATTTGTTAGATTTTTGGAACCAGCTAGAAACCATACCTAGATAAATTGGGCGACTGGATACTGCAGTAAATTGCCGTGATAAATCAATAGAATATCTGAACCAATCGCATTCGTGTTTTAGAGTGGAGCAATGTTTGGAGTGGATTGATAAACTTATTCATCTAGCACGAGTTCATTGCCTATGCATTTTGGCTTCTTCTATTTACTTTGACTTGTTACCAGCAGCTGAATGCTAAGTTAAGTCAACCGAATCGGAAATCTTTGAACTGTTAACATTTAGGATAAATACTATGGGTGTCTATAAATATACATACAGTTTTAATGCGGCTGTCTACCTCATATTAACACATCAATTGCTCAATAATTTCAAAATAATTTCTAAGAACTTGACATATTAGGGAAATGCGAGGCAAAAAGATAATGTTTTGGTTAACTTAAATGTCCTAGTGTACTCCATTGACTTCAAATTTCCAACAAGCCTAAAAAATTCAGTTTTTGAAAAAGGGTGTTCCGTTTAGACAATACTTGTTATTAGCATCTTTATTTTTATTTTATTTATCACCTTGAGTTTTTAAGTGCAGCTAGGTATCTATATGGCTGCTGAATTTACAATTTATATTTAGTAATTAAACAGCATTTTGGATTTGAATGGATACAGGATGGACCAATAAAAAATGTGCATTATTCCATTATTTGGTGCTTAGCCTATGCGCGCGAATTCCCTTATTTGTTTCAATCAGTTTTTGTCAGAAGTCTGTATGTCAGTCTTCGTATTTTGATTAATACTTATATTTATTTTAAAAGAACATAGGTGTACTAAATTCCTTATCTTTCCTACATGAGTATGAATCTTTTGTAAATATTAATCTTAAATGTTTTGATTCTCTGCGCTTCTTTGATATACCTATGTGCATAATGAGCTGTCGGTATTACCGATATAGTAGGTGGTTTTTGATTGACCAACTAGTGTCTTGTTTTGAGTCCAATATAGACAGCCATGTATCATTAGGCTCATCAACTCGTAAGAACCTCTGCCTCAGTTATTGCCTTGCGGAAAATGTGTTGTAGATTTATTTATCATCACTGCTCAGACTTTGCAATGTAGATAATCATATAATTATCGGCACACACGATTTCTTCGTTGTTCATAATTAATACAATTAACTTTGGAAGCGTTCCAACATTTTCATGTTGTCATCGAACCTGTTGATTGCAAAAATTCAAGTCGATGCTAGCTCCCAGTTTTTTTAGGATCCTTTTGTTAATCATGTACCAAAATCTCGGTAAAAGTTATCAGTTCCGCGCATTTGTCATAGTATTGTGTTAGCTTGGTGGAAAATTTAAGTGCCTTTGAGAAAGGATTCTACCCAACCAGTAGTTGCTTTGGTTGCCCTCTTTCTTCACTTAGAAACTTTTTAATCATTTAAAAAGCCAAATTAACCTAAAATTTTGGGTTAATTAGTTTCATATATCTAGTTTTCATGGCTCAGTAGCTCATATCCATTGGTTTCAATATTTGACTACTTGTCAATTTATCTTCCGATCATACATAGACGTATTTCTGCTTCTTTTATAGAATATTCGTGAAGCCTCGGGAATTCAGTTGAAACACAAAATCAGGGTGTATAGTATTTCTCCCAAACCGGGAAAATCTTGATAATAGTGTGATGACCACCCGTGGTGGAATCAATCAGCCATTAGACCGACTGCAACAACCCAGTTACCGTGGTCAACTTTCGACAGATTCTACTCGATTTTATTCTCCTGCTTCCTCCTCTTTGAATACATCTCAACAACAACCACCCACTTCTGGCTATTCTCCGTACGTTCAGTCCCCAGAACAACTGGGCATCCCAATAAATTATCAGAGCCATCATCACCCTCGGTTTCCCTGCTTTCCACATTCTGGAGGCACTATCAGTGTTAGTGAAAACGATTCGGCTGTTCAGCTTTCCGCCAACCCCAGTAACCCTACTCCTTTAAACGACCTTGATTTTCATCTCATGAATATCGAACCGAATATGTCCCCTTCATCAGGCATTACTTCCGTAAGTTTTCCTCCATCCTATTTTCCCTGGTCTAGCACGAAGACTGTTGGTGATACTTTTACTGCCTGATTCAATATTTCTTTTACCAGAATTGTGAAATTAACTGTTTATCTTTGACCATCGTAAGTCAACGAGCAGCACATGGAGTTACAAATTTACGGAAATGCGATTTGATGTATTTCCGGACCAATGTATTAGTCGAACCAAAACTTAGTGTATCTTTCCGGTTTAGGTACGGTAAAAGTTGGAAGCTCTGTTCTTTGTGACTTAACGACTCTTTTTTGGCAATGAATTTTTTCCGATACTAATTTCCTTTCTCAATTGACGTGCTTTTGACTCATTAATATTCCACAAACCTAGTATTTTCTTTATAATTCGCTTAATCGTTCACTTATTTCACAACATGTAATTTTTTCACCAGGTTATAGTTGTCACAATAACCGTGGGCTCTTTTTAAAATCTTCACTTTTTTATAGCCGATGGATTTGGGTTTCACAAATATCGGTGATGAACAGAGCACTGACAATATCGACCTCAATAATATTACACCCTCCATTAAACTTGCCTCGTCGGTGAGTACTTTTTCGTTTCTATTCCGTTGAGTAACGAGGCCAATCCTGTAGTCCCAGACACTTTTCGGTGAATGTGCGAACCTCTGCTGCTATACCATTGCTATTTACATTGCCTTGGACAACTTTAATTATTTGAAATGTCGTCAATTCATAGATCTGACTGTTCGTTTCTCTTTTTATTCATTATGGGCTTTTTCCGCAGTACTTCACGCTGGGTCTGCATAAATTGATCACTCCAGAAGTCTGGGCCCATAAATTGACTGTTTTGTGCAAATATCTTAATGTTTGTGATTTTCATGTTTTTCAACGTGGATCCAAATTGGCTAAATGTGTCTTTGTTTTATCAAAGCTAATTGGACTTGCCTCTATCTGGAATATCTGTGAGGCTAGAAAATCGGGAATAAGTTTTGTATAGTAGAGTGATCGAGTGTTTTATGTGTTATCAATTTTCTGAGGATTAAGTTAGTATTCTAGCAAATGTTCAAAATGAGTACTTTGAATACACTGCCGCTCCAGAATATTGTTTTATCTTGATTAGTAAAAGAGAACAAAGTTGATGTCTGGAAACTGAATTTCGAACTATTTTATTTAGCAACACATTTAACCTTGTTACATTACATCGTCACGTGAATGCTTATATAAGAGCACTTGAGTTTGCTTCTTAATTTAGCATAATCAACTCACGGTTCGATACTCTTCCTCACTAATTCCTTTGTCTAACTGTGTATAATGTATCAAAATGTCTTCGCTTTGTACATTGTTTAACTTCTTATCTGAACTACAACCGAATTTTGGACCTGCTTAGGTTCTCATCTCTTAATATCTTAACAAAGCACGATTTTCACTGCTTTTTAGCAAGTGTTATCTGCTTATTATAGTTTCCCCTTTGAAAGTAAGGTAGCTCTGTTTTTGGGAATAGTGTTGTCAGGCTAAATCAAGTGGTTTCTTTTATGACTTGTTAGCTGACTCTTTTGGGGCCGACCGACTTTTCCTCTGGGGACAACGCTCGTCGTGGGAAGCCCTTGATAAAAAGTGAGGCCATGTCGAAGGGCGGCGGTTCGGGTAGCGGCAGCGGCCCTTTCAGTAGCACTGAGGTGCCCTCCATGCCTTCCGCCTCATGTCCGGCCGAAAACAGCGGTGCAGCCTACCTTTCTTCTGGTGGGCCGTTTGAGAGCCCCACCACTGGCCTGAGCATCCCGCTCCCCGGAGGCACCGCCTCGGGCGGCAGTGGTGGCAGCAGCGTGACGGGCACCTGGGCCGGCAGCAGCCTAACCAGCCTCTCCGGAGCCACGGGTCTGCCCGTGCTCCCAGGTAGCGCTGGTGGCAGTGATAATCAACGCGTCGCTATGATTAGAGCACGGAGCAAAAAGGACAGCCATAACAGAAGTAAATCACCAATTTTACCCCTATTTAATCTTTTAAATAATTTTAATTAACCAAAAGTCTAGTGTGGCGAATCCCATGGGCATTTATCGAGCTTTTGGTCTGCAACTTTCTGAGTACACACAGAAATCGCTTTTTATTTATTATTTTACTTTCTTCGATCGCCCTGCGTTTATTAAGTGGAGTCTCCGTGACAGTTATGGTTTCAGTTTTTGCCTAGGCACTTCTAAATGTCATCTTCAAGTTCATTCTCAGCCCACAAAGACCCTCTTGCTGTCTTGCTTGTTCAGTTCAACGGCAGAACCCACTCAGGCATGTTCTTCCTCCGGCTAATCTAGACGACTCCAGTATACTCACATGCAACCCTTGAGTGCTCACCAGTTTTATCTGTAAAACAACCGGCAACTTCAAGTGTTAGTGCTTTTTACCTTAACCGGCCAGCTCGTCAATACTTTTGCAATGTTACTGCCTCTGCCCATTCAATTCGCACCCAGTAAAATTTTTCGCAATGTTTGAAGTCCTCAAACTAGACTGAATGCCTCAGAAAAGCCGATGATTTTGGTCGTCGATGAAACCATTCACATTTTGGTGGTAGTTTTTCCTTGCAATCTAGACTATCTGTGTGCGTCGCTGTTTCCTAGTTGACTACTTGTTTTCAGGTCTTGCAAAATTGGCTGTCAGTCGGTTGTTTACGAAGTTGGTGTTCGATTTGTTAATAAAAAATGGACAGTAGCAGGTATATCCACGTGTTTTGTTTTCACATGTGTTGGCACCTCGTACATGGAAGCCAAAAACCTAGCGCCATTAGAATATTGGATGAACAATTTTAACCCACATTACATGCTCTAAGTGTTGTTTTTTGCAGATGATTCCGGTTAATTTTTGCCCCACATTATTTTTCCCAAAAATTCTGCCTTTGTGCAGGCAAGTATCTAATAGTCTTATTCCGTGAAATTTTTAATTCCGAAGTGTTATTCGAAGGTAGACAATAAATCTGGAACATGTGTTAGGCTAACTGAATTATGTCCACTGACTTCGTTACTATTACTATCGCAACACAAAAGCCTTCCATTGATCGGAAATGCCAATTGAAATTGTCTATAAAAACCATTTCAAATGTGTTAGTACAACTCCCATTTGCTCCCTTTTTTACAAAAGGACAGAACTTCTTCACACACAGTTAACTTGACACTTGAACGCGTTATCATCCCTTGTTTTCCATTAGCACGGACTAAAATCAAACCCTAGATGACTTGTTTTGTCGATCTGACATAATAATTCGAAACGGTTGTACGGGAGTTGAACCGTACTTTCATGTTTAATGTGGGCCGTTATGGTGGAATCGGCGAGTGACCACACCATCTAAATTTGGCCAAAACACCTATAAATTGACTTCAGTAGCCATAAACGCTGTTAGGCTCTGCAGATCTTGCTGAATGAAGTGTTGTGCATGCCACTGAATATGTGGGTAGGATGGTCGTTTTCGGTCAGCTGAATTCAGTCGACCGGGCCCATTTTGGGGGCTCGCGTACCTCTCCGCCCAAGCATCGGCACATTTTAATGAGTGTCATAGAGGAAACGTGCCCAGCCAAACCAAGTATGAGGAATGATCGAAATTCCTGGCTACTTACTGGTATTACAAGCTTATTCGAGTCCTTCGATTCTAAAATTTGTGGATTTAGTCAGAGGCTGTTTTTCACGAATTTTAGTTTGCGAACTTTTCGTACCTAAAACAGTAATTAGAATTTGGTACAAAACGGTTAATTTTTGCTTACTTTCGGGTATTTAGGTATCATTGACTTGACCCATTACTTTTTCCATGTTCCACAAATATAATTTGGTTTCGGCTTTTCATTTAAGAATTGAAACATCTGCGGCTCTTGCCAGCACCCCTCGTTTTGAACATCCAGCTCGCATTTGTTGCTGATCGCATTCATCGACTGCCTGGTGCACCTGCCGTGTGCACATTTTTAGACCCTCTTTAGATGTTAGGTTTTTGAACCCATGGTTTCTCTCAACAGCGCCAACTATTTTTGCTGGTTTCTTCACTCGGCCTCTTGCGGCAATTATACAGGCGACCGCAAAACGCTGGTGCTCACGTACTGTCCTACACTTCCATTTGCCCCTTTCTTCCTCCGCTTTTTTAACTCTAACAGAACCTGATTTTGTGGTAGTTCGGTCTTTCTTCAATGCGTCTTCGCGGGAGGGAACCAGAATTTCCTGTCACGTACCGCCTATATTTCGTGACTCTCGGTTTGCAGTTTTTAAGGAATCCGCTGTGGTGCTGGTTTGATTGTCTACTGATGCTCACAGACGCAAATGTTTCGGTCTCTTCATTCTCGCTTTTGCCGGCGTGGTTGTGCGCGCGCTCGCGTTCGGTCCGTTGCGATGGTAAATAAAACCGCGTTGGTGTTGTTATCGCGCAGCTTGGTAACCGCGACTACTGCTAACACTGTTACAAACACTTAACTATAATGCCACTTTTTATATGTGCGACCATAAACTTTATTGTTAATGGGATTTCGGCTGCAAGGGCGGCTCAGGGGACTTAGCAGTTACCTATTGACGTGCTTAGTTAAGAGTGAACAGCATAATTGACATCCCAACTGAAGAGGCATGTAATTACGTTGATTGTGTGAATATTTACCTAGACGATATCGAGGTGCCCAAAGTTTCGAAAAATTGCAAACGTCAGAGGCCTGGTTTTCCGTTATATTTATAGGTACATTTGAGTCTGGTTATTCTTCGCTGTTCATAATTGGCGACATCAGGACCACTGGTTTACATGGTCGAGACCTTTGTGAGAATGTATTCCAGAAAACATTGATTCGATTTATCCGTGGTTGGCCTGATGCCTTTACAACTGACGCTCTACTCGTGCAATACGATTTCATAGTGTTACCTTTTCATGAATACCGTTCTATAGACTACGGGCATGCAAGCTCGTCATTGCTGTAACAAAAGCCGTATATCTTGTCACACTTGTGACATCATTGTGAATATTAATTGAACGAACACCTACTATTGGTGGAACTTTTTTATGTATGCTTCTGTCAATTTACTTAGCATACTCAATTCTTTCATGGCTTTGTGTTAAATATTTCTGTCAATTAAAATCTAATGTACATTTGCATTTACGCAATACAAATATAGATTGCGATTTTGTGGATGACATAATTTGCGGTAGTAGCACCTTAAAATTAAGCGATTTTGTATATTGCGCACTTAAGGCCTTGACTAATGTGTGAAGATAGGTTGTGGAGTGCTATCGCTGACAAAATTTCCTTCAACTTTTTTCTTGTTACAGAAAGGATCATGCCTATCTTGATTTTTCAATAATGTGGTCGCACGATTAAGGCACGGTTTGTCTCTTGGTGCCTTTTCGAAGGCCCACTTATGCAGGCAACGAACTAAACTTTTAATGTAGTAACCGCCATCTTTCCTCCTGTTTGCCTACTTGCTACCATACCACTTTGTCTCTCAACCTAGTTTTATTGTGTGCTTGTAGTTGAACGGAAACGCCGCGACTACATCAACTGCCAGATAACGGAATTGGGCACCCTGCTGCCTGAAGAGATGTTCCGGGAGAAGTAAGTCTTTTCCTCCAAGGTGTCCATCTTATTTTCACTAGTTGGTCTATTCAAGTATTTGTGTTCCCCTCAGCTCGATTCGCTTGTCGAGGGTTTAAGAAGATCAATGCCTATGAATGCATGAGGCCCTTTTCCTTTCGATTGCGGTTTTCTTCTACCACTGTGTAGCAAAGTTTTGATTAAAACCCTTTAGTTGTACAGTGTTGGGATGCTTGTTTCACTCGAGTGTGCAGTGATCTTACTCGAAAACATGAGCGCATCTTCTAGCGTTTTTGATAGTATATCGAGAATACGGCTGGGTTTTGGTTTAGCCATCTGTTTACCTTAGTAAACAAATCCTATACTGGCCTATTTTAATGTCGGTGTAAAACTGAAAATGGTATTTTAGTAATTCTACTTGATTTGAGGTCAGCTTATTTTCGCTATTTCCGCGTCGGTGCGACAAAGCGAGCAGCCATAAAAGCTTGTCCTTATTCATCAGCATCAGCAGTTTGGTTTTTTGAGGTTTTCGGTTCGAAATTCTTGTATTCGACCCTGGCCATACTACTAGTAAGGCGCCGCTCTCCCAGCTCATCCTCTAATTCATACTTGATCTTACTGAGCACCCAACTAAATTTTTGATCCGACAAAACCTGACGGGTAAGACGTTTTGCGCTTCATGGCTCGTCGCAGCCCAACTGGACATGCCTACTTGGGAAGAAGACCACCAACCCATGCGATACCAGTCTCAAACACGCCCTGGCAACTACTTCCCGGTTTAAATGCGTTTCGCCGTTCACATATTTTACAGTGCGTCTCGTCTGGCTAGCTTATGAACCAATCATGTGAAGCGCCTGCGTGGGCAGGCAGCGCACGATGCGTAAACAGCATCTTAGTTTTTTTTGATGCGCTATCTTCCTGCAACGCACGTGACATGCGGTCTGTCTGGTCTTCTGCGCCTTGTTACTTTTTTGCCGTGTTATACCATGACATCAGTAAAGCCGAACATGCAGCCGAGTTTCGGGTCACACTGCCACATGGTTTTGGCCACCCAGTGGGGTGTGGAGCGTTCAATCTTTCTCCAGTAATTCACTTTTGATACCTTCAGCTCTGGATCATGGCGATTTCAAGCTTACCAGACATCATTTTACGATACTAAAAGTGTTTCGCACATTGAATTTCTGCTTGATTTTCATTGGTATTTGTACCAATTGCATCGGGGCGAATCGGTGGTCACGTTGCTCGCACTACTAATTTTTTAAAACGAGAGTAATTTGTCAGTTTGTAAGACCACTGCTTTACGACTTTTGTCAAACTTGCTGGTGTTGTTCTTGCCTAATTTACTTTGTTTTCGACATGTTATTTTTGACCTCCCAGCGGGTGCATTTATGTTTATCAAACCCTATTTATGTCACTCTCGTGAATGCGGTGTTCACCATGCATCTTAAAATATCCCCCACCCATTTAATGTATCCTATGTTGTGAGCCCCGAGATTTGGTCTCAAATAATGACCGGGCCACTGAGTTTAATCTGGCCACGACTACGCCACTCTGCTATCCGCGATGATGAAGAAGATCACCGAGTTGAGCTCTGACGTTTGCTTCAGAGCTCAATCGATTTGGTGTTGCTTGCGTTTATAGCTCAGAAGTGTGAAACGGCGTGCACCCTAAATGTGCTAACATCGAGGCCTAGGTGAATTTTATTGCACGTATTGACAATCCCGGATGCTCGCTCGCAAGAATGAAGTGCGAGTTGAAGCTCCGGGATTATCACCTGACGAGATGCTGTGAAGAAAGGGGACATGGTGTCGGAGAAGGGAGCGACCGGATTAACGAGTGTGTATTAACGAGATTCATAACAACTATGCTGATTTGCAATCAGGCACTTGCATTTCTTGGTCATAATCACGTTGCAGCTTGACAAATTTCTTCTTATCGATATCGTTCCATTGGATGTTTTGGCCATACGTGCGATTCAGTTAAAAAGGCACATCGACAACCAACATAATCTTCACCATCACTTTTCCAGTCGGTTTAACGTAATTTCGACAGTTAAATATTTATATTTGCCAGAAGGAATAATAAAATTTGGTTGTGAGTGTACTCATATGTTTTTTTTCTGTGTTTTACTATTTCCTGTCCGTGCGTCGAATCGGGAGACGTAGTTATTGTGATACATTTAAAGCAGTTCGACAGGATAAAATGTGTCACGTAAGATCTGGAATCGCGTTCATTTTTGCGTTTTGCTGTCTGTCATCATTTCGGTAGTGTTTTTGTATCTGTGTAGGTGTATTCGTTTCACCTATAGTTAAAACTCAACTATACTGAGTTTAATTGCCATAATTTCATTTTCCTTAATCTACTTTGAGGTTTCGTCATTCTGTGTAATGGCACTGTGAATGAAAAATGTGATGTTCAAGCATGCTGTGTTTTCTCCTTTTGAATGCTCACATCTGCTAATGCATGTCCGAGTGTGCACATCACGGTAAAGTATTCAAAGACAACAATTCCCACGCGCAGAGCTTGTCAATAACAACCACAACCGTCCAAATGGCAAAGCACACTACAAAAGGGTCAGTAGAAAATACACCACCTGACATGAACGACTTCATCGGGAATTATTTCGGTCTCTAATTCAAGGAAGAGTTTGTGCTGTTGTACCATCACACTGCCACCCGTACACGAACAAGTCTCACCACCCCATGTTTAGGACACCTTCTAGCCCCACCTCTCACATAGCTTGCTTCATTAATCTGCTGATTTATTCGTAGTGAAGGCGCCTATGCCCATGTAAAGGCACGAATCTCACCAAGTCAGTGCTTCTTGCTCTGCAGCCAATTAGTATTAGCCGCAATTTTTAGTCATTTTGGCGGCCTCCAGCGTGTCTGATAATGCTGGTTGAGCAAATCTGTCGAATCCGAAGTTATGCAGACGTACGTGCTTCTTAGACGTTTCTTGTGTTGCGTCAGCTGGGTCAAAGCAAATTAGCACTGCAACATCGAGCTATTTTTAAACGAAAGGGAGCTTGTTTTATCTAAAGCGTGGTCTAGAGGTAAAAAAATTGAGTCGCATGTAGCTACACAAGGTTGCAATGTGTTGTATTCATCAGAGGCCATTTCGCCGGATACCCCCGACATTCCGGTGTAACTCTACGCCACGGTGCTGACTTCAATTCGTAAACCTCTGATTAGAAATATTGCTCCAGTGATCAGTCGGCAGATCTGTCTACGAAGTCATCCAGACCGTTGCGAGCCAATGTCCCTGCTGTTCCCAAGGGCATCCTCTTTAATTGTGGCACGAGATGCGTTTGGTGGGTTCTGGCAAATCACCAATGTTAATAGCTGAAGCACCACATTTGCTCCTGAAGCATGTAGGCGAGGTCATTTTAATGTAGAAACAAGCGGTGAATTTATGCCAGGGATGGTTTCTTGCAGCGAGTGAAGACTATTACGTGTAGCCACCTTCTTTTACCTACTCAAGTACCCTATCGATATTTGCTTTTTAATGGAAAGCAAGGTAAAGCATGTCTTAATTGATAAATGTGACTAAGCGAAAATTGGGTGTCACTGCTCTGTTTTTCCTCCATTTTATAAGTGCATACAATACGCCGAAGTATTCGCGTCAATTGTTGTCCATAAATTCCATTTTATTTATCCTTTGCCGTTTGTTGTGAAATGTTTGCTACTTTATTAGATCAGTAGAAGTGTAGGTCACTTGTTGAAGGGGAGCGTGTTTTGCTCGATTGGATTGATTCATGGAGATTGCAATTCAGTCTGACGGCTGGGTGATTTTACGTTCCGATTTAGCTATAAAGCTTGGCCTTTCTAATCAGTGTTTTTTTCTTGATAACATTTAGCACTTCGTTGTTGACAAATTGCCTCATATGTGTGAATCTGGTTTGCCTGAACACTTACAATTCTGGATTCTGTTTCCCTCCCATCCTTGGTAAACATGTATCACTCTTTTTTGTTATTGTACATGCTTGTAGTGCTCTTAATCTATGCATTGTGGGAAAGGCGATAGGTAATAGGTGGTCGGTCCGTAGGATTGTGAAATAAACCTCACTTTCATTCTGGGCTCCTTGACGTCTTTTCGGTCCTGCATGTACTGATCTGACTACTTCGGCTGCCACTAAGTCTACGTGGTCCACATCTTCTTAATTTGTAGTTTTTGCGCCATTTTCGCACTCGTAGTCAGCTTCTGCCCCATCAACTACTATTCTTATTTACGATTTTTCCCTTTTAAAATGCTACCGTCGGCCCTTTTTTTTGATCGTGCGAAGATCGCTAGTCCCGGAATCGTTGTTTTTCTGCATGCGCCTTCTCGCCGCCTTTATTGTCAATACCTTGGCTTGTTTCCTTGGGCCTTTTGAGGAATTTGTTTTGATCAAGTGACTATTTGTGCTTGGGTTTCTTTCGCAAAGTCCAAGTTACTCGAAACTAATGCCATGAAAGGGTTGCATGCAAACTCAGCTTTGGCATTAAAAGTAATTTCACTTACAATTAGTCGATTACATTTGCTCGAATTTTTTTGGGGCCGTTTTAATTTTGACAAATTGATATCTTTACTCTTCAATAATGCCTACATTCTCATTATAAGCTTAAGAAGAATCACAACAAATTAGGTTATCTTAGGTGATCTTTTAAATTTCTTACGTTTTCCAAACATCGTTGGATTCACCCTTTCTCTGTTTGTCTGTGTCTCCTCTTTTTACTTGTTGGGGGCCCCGGCGTGGTTCAAGGCAACATGCTGGGGCCACTACGTCAATCTAGGCCGATTTCACTACCCTGAGTACCCGCTAAGATGAAGAAGACCGGAGAGAACGCGACAGCCGTTTACTAGACAGCTCAACATGGTTGTTTGCGTGTATTGGGTGTAGCGCATGACTCATGTGTGTTTTGCTGCCTGATACATTTGAGTGGACGAGTAAAAATGTAGACGTCTGAATGGTCACATGAACAGAGCAGGTGGTGGTGGTACATGCGGAGGGGTGAATGAGTCGGCTGGCCCTGTGACTGACGGGCACGCCGTGAAAAGGGGGGTGTGTGTGTGAGGCTGCGACGACCGGGTTGTCCGACGTGAATCAACACGCTTCACTACATACTTTTAGCTTTGCCCTGTTTACTTGCTTTTGATTTCAACCTTGGTCGTCGTCCGCAATAAATTGATTCCAACGTGCCCATCTTTATTGCATCTCAAAGGTGCCTTGCTTCCGCGTCGACGGATTTACCGTTGATAATGTTACATTAGACATGCTCTACAGTCTGCTGTTGCGTAGCACACTATGTCACGACGTGGCCCCGAATGAGCCTGACAAACGGATGTTCGTGTTTTGTGGATTTTCGTAGTTGTCATGCCTATCCTTTTTCTGAGTTCTGAAAAATCAAACACCGACCGCTGCCTCCTTGGCTTAATTTGCTTCAGTTTTCTTTGATTTGTTAACGACTTGTCAAAATGCCCGCTCTTGTTAATCAATGTCCTGTCACTTGTTTACTCTAGGTCCTAGCACTTGTTTGTCCAGTACATGTTAGCATTGTCTTCGTAACTTTCACTTTTTATCCATTCTAGTGCGCTAATATTGCTAGTGCAAGTGTCGCTTGGGTGTTTTTAAAATCTAACTGAATATAACACGAACTCACTTTATTTAATAACTTTCCTCAGTCTTTGATTATGCCTAAATACGGAATTGGTATCTTCCAGTTTTACGCATCGCAAGGAGTTCACATGAGTTTTACTGACTGAATCCCCATGCCATCGTCGTTTCTACCCTCAAAACTCCAGGATTTACCAAGCTTAAATTATGGACGTGTTGTCCCAGCATTCACTTTTCAACCAAATGACTAAACGTTTTTGTTCTCATCTCTAGCGAATGCAAGAAAAACAAGGGAAGCATCTTGAAGAATTCTGTGGAGTATATCTGCGCTCTCCAAAGGGAGAATCAATGCTACGCTGACCTATACAATGAAGCCAATCTTGCCAATACTGTCATCGATCGAATGATCAAACGTATCCAGGTGCGATTCAATCGAAAGGCGTTTCACTCTCCGAGTGTTTTGCCACATTTGCACACCATTATTTTGCATATAAGATCATTTGGCTGCTGTGTGTGTGTGCGTGTCTCGAGTGCAACTCCGCGAGGTGATAACTTTTACACATTAAACCTGTCACTCGAATTCTCAGAAGTGCGTAGATTGTCGTACGGACCTCCTGTTTTCATTACTTCCTTTTTCTCTTGCTGATTTCACTCTCTTTGTGCATTAGAGATCAAATCAGAGGGCATTTTATTCTGTTTTTTTCTGGCGGCAACTTGAATTGGATTGAGAGTAAAGGTATTGACTTGAAGTATATTTCAATTTGGACAGGTTCTTTGTAATCGTAAAATTGGTCCTCGGTCTAGTAGTATATCTCGTGTGGAGTTTTGAGCGGCTATTCTATTTTTGCTTTCTATCACTGGTTATTTTATTGCGATAGCCATCATGCATTAATTGAGTCACATCATGTATGTGTGTCCGTCTGCCTTTCTCGCTAGCGTCTGGTTATGGGAAAGGTTGCTGGAGATGTTGGCTCAGCGTATTGTCAACAATGGTCGCTACCAAAGCAAATCATCCGAAATGGATAGTGGTTTTTATTATCCCAAACAAAAACTGCTCTATTTCAAGGCGTGTATGTCTGCAATTAGTAATTTTGCCTATAAACCCATTGGCCAGTGGGAGTAACATGTTGTGGAATGTCTGGAAACCGACCTAAGTTCTAACGCCAGGTTAGACGCTCTGCGAAGCTAAGCAGTCGCTTTGCGTGTTTAGTGTCTTTGCAGTATCTATTTGCTTTGTCGTTCGTTTCCAGGACCTCGAATCTTTAATACCGCCGGAGTACCTAGCCAAAGTGGCGCCGACAGGTGCCGCTGACTACCGATCACCGCTGCAGGAGTGGTCCAAAGTGCACGATGTCAACCAGCAAAAGATCTCCTCAGGCACGATTGTCGGTGTTCCTTCTGCTGGCGGTGGCGGTGCCGGTCAAGTGTCTGTCGACACCAGCGAATCATCTCCAGGCATGTCATCCATTGGCAACAACGACGATGTTGGCACCTTTGTCGACACAAGAGGTAGGCTGGTTTCTCACCCGTGGGTCATTTTTTTTATTGACACCCTAATTGTCACAACGTTTAAATTGATTCCAAATGTAACTAAACAATGTGCCCTTGATTTACTGACTTAATAAGAAGTAAAATTACGTGTTCTTAGATTTTGGCATCATCCTTTATGTTACCTATCGAGGTCACTTTAAAAGATTGTGTTAATTTTTTTATGGTATTTGCCTTCTCTGGGTTTGTTCTGCTCAAAACTCCGTAACGATAGCCAATGTATTCAAGAATATCGTGTCGAAAATACTTAAAGGAGCCGTTGTAAGACGGTTAGTGGGTGCAGCCTCTACAATAATAGCTGATTTGAACTGTCAGTGAAAACGTTCAACGAAGTCATTGGATGCCGGGTGAAGATACTCAAATGTTTGCTTTCTGAATTGAGCAGCAACATAGGGTTTAGATCTGCCAATTGACATATTGCACGTGACCTTCTTGGAACGGTGCGGTAGTGGCAGCTCTTCGAGATTTAGACTAGAATTTTGATGGATTTGTCTCGATTCTTAGTCGCTAGTCTGAGCTGCAGCTAACTATTCAAAATTGAGAAAGTGCGTCGGCCACGGCGTCGTCATTCCCATCAACATGCCGGACACTGGTTATACATTGTGAAGCATAATCATGGATTCGCGTGGGAAATACCGGTCGGGCGCTGCGCAGAAAGCATAATTTAAGGCCTTATGGGTGGTAAGAATTGTAACCTCACGTCCTTCCGGTACGCAACGGAAGTGTTTCACAACAAGATAAATCGCTAATAGTTCTCCCGTGAATGTGCTGTAGCAGGTCTGAGCTGGTTTGAACTTTAAAAAAAGACGATAATGCCTTCATACGACCGTCTACCTTGTTATAGGGCTGCTCCAACTGCAATTTTGGAAGCATCCGTTCGCAAGACAAATTTTACTGCCCCTTTCCGGGAGTAAAAATTCGTGAAATTTTCTATAACATCCTTTATGGCTTGAAGAGCAGTTTAAGCCTCTGTGGCGAATAGCAAACGAGCACGAATTCAGTCGATTTATTTGAATGCACCTCTAGACAAAGGCGAAGTCACAATCATATAGAACTTGGTCCATGAATCTCTGAGCTGCATTGCATAAACCTAAAGATACATCGATGCCGTAAACACGGGTACACACGTGGATATCGAGAATTTGCTGATCGCTCAGCAATTCGGCAAGTAACTGCGGAATTTCTGAAGACAATAGATAGCCTTTAACGCAGTTGAGATCATTTTTCTAACATCTACATGCACCATTGTCTGTGATGTTGGAACCAGTGTGCAGCGCTCCCTCGTTCCAAAATCTATGCACGACGAGGTGTCTATGTCATCCTGGTCAACGGGCAACAGGGAAGCTGATTTGCCACTGTTATGTGTGGCCTATCATGAATAGGGATTTGGCAGTGGGCTCGAAATTGCGTATGCTATCAAGCGTTAGCGAACGTAAATCCAACCGATTTTGTTGAGTTCGGCGCATGGAGCTACCTTCGTATGGGGGTCGAATGTCATGCGTCCCTATTTAAACTTACGACTAGTCTTTGCTAATGTATGTCTCTCTGCCACTACAATAAACGATTAAAAATCTGTACTTTCGGTATTATTTCTTCTTTGGATACTTAGTGATGCGCCTTGCCACAACAGTAAAGTGCAATACAAATTTGGCATATTTAATATGTGTAGTAATATATTCACATCCATTTTACACTGGTAATACATTCTGTGATCGACATTATGTACTGCTTTCTAAACGCAGGTCGTTTTAATGTGCTAATATTACAGAAGCTTGCGTACTTTAGTCTTCTTATTTGAGGAAACAAATGGCCGATAGATAAAAAAGCTAGATCGAATATGTTGAGAAAGTGTTTCGTTTGCGAGACAGTGGTTGCACGCAGTGCCTGAAGCCTGCCCACATTCGCTGATAATAAGTTACCCTATCCGCACTTCCACAATCGATGGCAGGGGCTAGCTGAATCCATTGTGGCGAACTCCAACTTGTGGGTACGTAACGGTGCTGTGGAAATGCACAGTGGGTTGAGCGATTCCTCTGCTCCAGAAGTGGACACTCATTTTTATTTGCACATTGTTATTAACGCGTCATGGAAAGAGCACGTAAAGAAACGAATCGCCAGCATTCTCTAATTGTGTAGCCTACATTGACTACGGATCCATCACTAAAACGTATTAGAGCGTAGAATAATGCTTGAAACTCAGGTTCACTGTTTTTGCATGTCTTCTGCAAATGCGATTATTGTTGTGTGTTCTATGGAGTTCCACACGAACATCGGGCAATTGTAGATTAATATTCCTTAACTCAAATGATAGAGAAAGTAATCTGTCAGAATTTTGTGGTCAAAACTCACACCATCGGGGAAGCAGTTTTCCGGCAGCTTTTTTGTTCGAAGTCGCCATAAGCAACGGAACCAAACAATGCTTCATTGTCTTTTAAAACAATTACAAATCTCTGTTAACAGGTGTTTAGTCGTCAATTAATGGCATTTCCTCTGCTCGGGAAGTCTGGATCTACTAGATAATGGCAATCAACTCTTTATTCTACCATTTAATTATCTCTCCATAACTTCCATTTCTTTATTTGTTGAAGTGGCTTCATGGGCTTCAACCCAGGGTTCTGAGATGTTCTCCCCACATCCAGTAGTAGAAGGTGTGGGCGCAGCTCTATCCTGCTCATATTGTTGCAAGGCGAATCCTAACGTCAGATTATGAATTTAGCATTTGTATTGTGGCACATTTTCATTCAACTTATTGAAGGCCTCTGCTCGTGGTCTTGAACCATACGGGGGGTGTCTCGCTTTATTAGATCGAATTACGCTGGAAGTACCCGAGTAGAGCTGAGAAGTCGAAGACAATTCTTTATTAGATGGCCTAGCCTGGTTGTGTTGTCGTATACGTGCATGTTTAAAGTCATGCCTTACTAATGGTGTTGTCGACCGATACAGGTTGTTTGAACTAGTTAAGGTACAAGTGACCGAATGGTCAGATGAGCGAGGCGAATAGTGAGGGTCAAAAATGCACTAGCGGTTCCGTATGACTGGAGGTGCGCTGTGAAAACGGAGGCGGTAGCGTGGATGGACCTGATTCAACACGATTTACTACAAGCTGTTCGTTGTATCATCAGCTTATCAGTAATAATGTGCAACTATTTAAGCATTGTGATTACCATATAGGTGTTGTTCTCATTGTTAAACCAATGAGGCCTAGGTAACTCGCCGGGAGTATACTTACGAGTTTGGAGGCATGTGACACTAATGATTTTAGCCAATTGTGTTGATCTATTTGTCAGGTGACTCGAACTCGCCAATACCACTGGTCGGGAGACCAGCACGCACCCGGTGCACTTCCGCTTCTTCGAATCCAGGGCAGCCAATGAACTTGGGCTCCGGCGGAGGTGGTAATCTGGTCGACAAGGTTGACACCAGCCATTTGATGGCCTCCTCTTTCGTCGGCTCCCTGCCCTCGCGCAACACCCGCATACTCCCTGCCGCCACCTCCCCCTCTAACGCTGCTCAGGGAGTGCGCCTCCCCCAGATGCGTCCCTTGTTTCCCCAGCTCTATGGTAGTGCAAGTGGTAATGGCAAGCACCCCTCACCTCCTTCAAGCAAAATTACGGGTAAACGTACAGCAACTGGAAGACCTCCCACGACTAAGATGGAGGATAGTGGAGGTATTACGGTGCCGAAACATAATCCTCTGTTCTCCAGTGGCGGAGGGATCACGTTTGGTGGTGGTGGTGGTGGTTGTGGATTCGGCGGTCTAAGCACGAGTTTACCCGTGAGAATACCTCCAGATGAATTTCCAGCTACTTCGGAACCAATCGGTGCTGAAGTAAGTTTATGTGCTTAGAAGCACTCTCCACTTTGCCTTCTGTAAAAAGCTAACCTGTTAGTAATCTGCTTTGACCCAGCTGACGCAACACAAACGTCTAAGAAGCACGTACGTCTGCATAACTTCGGATTCGACAGATTTGCTCAACCAGCATTATCAGACACGCTGGAGGCCGCCAAAATGACTAAAAATTGCGGCTAATACTAATTGGCTGCAGAGCAAGAAGCACTGACTTGGTGAGATTCGTGCCTTTACATGGGCATAGGCGCCTTCACTACGAATAAATCAGCAGATTAATGAAGCAAGCTATGTGAGAGGTGGGGCTAGAAGGTGTCCTAAACATGGGGTGGTGAGACTTGTTCGTGTACGGGTGGCAGTGTGATGGTACAACAGCACAAACTCTTCCTTGAATTAGAGACCGAAATAATTCCCGATGAAGTCGTTCATGTCAGGTGGTGTATTTTCTACTGACCCTTTTGTAGTGTGCTTTGCCATTTGGACGGTTGTGGTTGTTATTGACAAGCTCTGCGCGTGGGAATTGTTGTCTTTGAATACTTGGCATAATCGTCTGATTTTTATCGTTGACCCTCGAATGTGACCTTTTTCAAGCTTTAACTCAATGTTTCTCGATAATGGGTGTCGGTTGCTCCCATGCTACTGCACTTGGTGCTGCTGTTGCCTTGACCAATTCGGGTGGCCCCCGCCTCAGCTGCCGCCTAAACCGATTGCAAGCCAACTCAAGGCGTGGAGTCCTTAGCCACGTGATAACAGCATTGGTTTGCACGAAGCTCCGCGGTGTGCGTTTGTCAAGGGCTGCGAACTGTTTAGATGTCTTAGAAAGCGAAGGTGTTATACCAGAATCCTTGTGTCACCAATTTTCATCAAGTGATGTTAAGCCTTCAAAGCATTTGCCTCACCCATAGCATGCTGAATGGTACTGTGCGTATCAACTGTTTTCGGTCAATAGGCCAACCAACCTAAGGGTTTGAGCCGAGAAACGGTTTTTCGCGGTCAAATTGCTGTGAATTTGTGAGGTTAAAGCCGTCACTTTGACAATCTACCTCAAAATAATTTCAAGTAGTTGTTTCTTGTACACAATATATTTTTAACGTTCTGGCTTCCCCAGAGCTATATTCGTATGACGTCGGAAGGTGGTGAGAGAGGCCCATGCCATGAGGGTCCCGCGACTGCCTTCAAACCCGAGCCCATTGCCGAGGTGCCCGGTGGTGGCACCGCTGGTGGGTTCCAGCCGCACTCCTACAAGCCTCAGTTCGGTGGAGTTCGTCCCATCTGGTCCCAACCGCATTCTCAGCGCATCTCTCGCCCAATGTCAGCTGGCCAGCATCAGCTGGCTACCTCAGAGTCTTCACCAGCGCAGCAAGGTGCCGGAATGTCAGATGAGCTGCAGTTTGATCCCATTATGTAGTCATCTAGCGCCATCTCTCTCTCTCTCTCTCAGATGTCTCTTTTCATCCATTGGTCTTTTTTGTCTTTGTGTATGTAACTCCCACTTTGTACACAGTCTCGCTTCCCTTTTGTGCTCGAGCCCTCATTTGGCCTCCTAATTTGACTAACCGAACGCCAATGCTGATTGCTTCTCTTTTATGTCTATTTAAAATGTGTCACTATTTTTACCATTGAAAATGGTTAGTTACAACTCCCGTTTGGGTCCATCATTTTACTATTAAAGCCACCATTTTGCCAACACAGCCCACCCCGATCAGAGAAATAACAATTTGAATTTTTGGCCCTCTATTTCTCCCATCATTTCCATCTTATACAACTACTTTCCTTTTTCTGATGATAAACAATTCATTTTTTCACTTCTTAAAAGTTTTGGTGAGGGAGTTAAGTTTGCGATAATGCCTACTTTTCGTGGGTTGTTTTTCACAGAAGTTATGGTTTAGTCATAATTTGAAGAAAGCTAGGGATGGAGTCGATTTTTCCTCCGAATCTAAATAATTCCCCTTACGCTTTGCACCGAAGCGCCACATCACAAATGAGACCAGTTAATATTTGAGCTGCATTGACAACAAGTTGCATAACTTCGGGCGCGTTCACGTAGCAGACAAACTGCGGGCGGATGAGTCTGGGTGGATCTAGTCGGTAAACAGCTGAAGTACTATGGGTTTCGATAAGAGGTGGCTGAATCCCAGCGGCACTTCATTATGAAGAGCTCCAATTATTGAACAATGGCTTGTCGGGGTAGTCACGGAACTGGACGGGAGTAGCCAAAGTTAGTAGTCTGTGCATTTGTTCTTCGAAGTGCATTCCGAGCGTCAATCCGCATGCAAATTTGTAATCTGTGAAGCTGAAAGGCTGGACGCAAAAGATGTGCTGAGAGGAAAGTATCGTAGTGTGTTTGAAATGATTCGCAATTATTGGTCATCGACAATTACCCAGCAAACATTCGTGCCAAATCGGCTTTGGTACTACGTTGGGGTTGTTTCTTCTCGGCCATAGTTAATTATGACTCACACCATGTTTTATTTAATAGTGGGAGGACTTCCGTTGATTATTAAAATGTTGGGTAAATGCTTATTTTGATAACGACAACTAAATAAACCCAGCCGAACACGCATTAGCTTATCAGCCGGCAATTTTGCATCTTAGTTTCTCAATACGAACAACCGTATCCAAGGCCATGTGTGTCAATGAAAATCACTAAACGGAGGGCTGTGCATTTATTGAGGAGTAGCAGGCAAAATGTGACTCTGGAAATCCAGTTTGAGGTCGCCAAGTCAGCTTTCTCTTAATTAAAGGTGAGTGAAAATGAGTTTCAGCTCTTAGGGAAAAGTGGAAACTCCTTGGGTCCCTATAAGGCAATTGCGCAAATGAACAAAGAATTGCTCTGTGTAAAAGGAATAAAGAGAAACACGCAGAAAGATAAAGTGGCTTTTGTAGTTGTTGGTAGAGGAAAGATGCACGCACAACGCAAGAAAAAAATGACATGTGCCTAATGACGCATCACAAAGTGCAAAATGAGTAATTAAACTGACTCATGGATATGCTAGTCATCCTCCTCATCGTCTTCTTCGGTAAATGATTCGTTGGCGTAGTGATTCTCAGAATAACTGAATCCATCATCTGTATCGGCACTGACATCTTCGACTTCAAGCACGTCAAGCGACTCGTTTGGATCTTGGGATTCCAAAGTGATGGTTGACGCCGGATTGATCGGTTGTGAAGTTACGCTGATCTCGTCTCGATGATGAAACAGCACTTCTGATGGCTGTGGTGATGACTTGGCGAATATTGAGGGCGAAGACACTGGTTCAGCATCGATTTGGTTGGTCATTATATCCTTCTCCCTATAGGTGAATCGTGTCGAAGAAAATGCATTAATTAGTAAGTCAATGTTTCCTCCACTGACCACACCATCACTTGAAATAACAGCCAAAATTTATCCTAAAACTTGACTGCCACACTTGACTACCTCTTAATAGAATTCGATGTGGTGCTCAGGAAAAAACTCGACATCGGACATCAAGTAAGTACATTTCTGATGCAAGAGGCTCGCAACTAGAGGTAAGCCGACAAACTTTCCGTTGCCGAGTAAAATTAAGCTTTGACCTCAAAATATTTCTTGCAAGATCAAGGCGTTCTGGCAAGAAAATAAGGAGTCTCCTTATTATATCGGTTTTTTGAAAAATATCAAGCTTTAAATTTCGTTTTTTAGGTCTAGTAGTGAAAATCACGTCACTTTTCCAAAAGAGCCAATCAAAGTGCGCAAAAGTGCACGCAAGATGGAACCAACTGAGTAGCCAAAATAGAAATGTGGGGATAAACATTGGCCTCAAAAGTGCGAGACCTTCTTTAATAGGGTAGCACAATAACTAATCACAGACTAAGAAATCTTCGCGAATGATATTTGGTGCCACGGTCAACAGGAAGAATTGGTCTTTCAGAAGTTCAAACGTAAGACGACTTGCAAGAACGAACAAAATTGTTACAGTTAAATTTATTCCCGGACTTAAGTGGTCGGGGTCTTAAGACGTGAGGGAATCTACCTCAAGAATATCTAACTCGGGCAGACTATAAAATGACGGGCAGCCATTTGATGCCTTAATTTAATATGCTTTCAATGTGATGATTTCTAGCACCACCTACTAGTAGAGGTGCCATCTACATCATAGATATGAAGGTGACAACTGTAAGACGAATAGTTTGCAAAATACTGCAGGGATTCTTGCGTCTGTACCTCATCGGTACCAAAAACAAAACTCTACATCACGCAAGGCATCCGCGAAATCCCACTTACTACAGTTTATCTTGAGACAGAAGCCTAGTAAGTTATCCACTCCGGATTATCTTAAACAACAAAAGGCTTTTTTTATCATTTTTTATACTTGACACAATAGCGTGTATGCAGCGCTGCCCAGCACACAAGTAAAACGCGAAAAAATTAAAGGTCGATCCCATTAGTATTGACCCCACAATGAATACCTTCCTTTGTTCGTGTTTCAAGTTGGAGCTAAGCAAATGAGACGAATTCAACGTGGAGGCCCGGGACCTGGAGTTCACTTCTGCTAACACGACAAAATTTTTGTAAGATTCAAAGTTCCGAAACCCCAATAAATCGAAAGCCGTTAATTCGTTCGCTGAGTTATATACCAGCGTTAGTGACGCTCAAGCGATGTGGGTGAATTAATCAAAGGTGAACTACACGACGCGGTTGCTGCATGGTTTAGCAAAGCAGCGACTTACTTCGAACCATTGGAACCTGGACTGAGCTGTTCCGATTGCTCAATTCCCACTTCGCGGGATGGTACATGCAGGGGGCTGCAGCCAACTGCTGTCGATTCGCCCCGCTCGCGAGTTCTTCCGGTGACCACAGGATCTGGTGCACCCGCCTCTCTTCCCTAACCAGAGACACATAAAACGTCCATGTGACATCATCGAAAACTAAGTTTTGATGATTTGGAAAACGTTTATAGGTAGCTCAAAAGTAGTTATTTTTTGGCCAGAATGTTGGGGAAGTCAGCATTCTTCAAAACTGTTCCCTGCACAATTGCAATTTACACCAATTCAATGGAACGAAGAATCTCTAAGCTCACTCACTGGAAAGTTTCATTAGTTTTTGTTTTTTTGATGCACCACACCCACTTAAATCACAGAGAAGTGAGTGTATTTGAATGTCGTTTGACCTTGAGCTGAGACAGTAGATGACACAATAACTCGACCGACATCCTTTTATGCGTTCTGAGTGCACGCTGCGAATTGCGTCTCAACCAAACGCTAGATGCATCCCTCGTGTATGAATCATCGCCAAGGTCCTTTGACCTCTGTTTACCTGCAAATTGGAACCACGCATCGTGTCGGTTTAAAGAAATTCTCACACCCGGTGATAAACCAGTGGGGCGAGAGTTTTCATGCGTCAACTCACCAGTTTGGGCTGGTGCTCACAGTTAGTGGATGCAGCAATCACATCAGGAGGCAGGTTCAGTTGTTGGCCAATCTGGCGGATGGCCTTTAACCGTTGGTCCTCGAATAAGATAAACAAGAACACAACGTTTGTTCTAAGTGACCTTGTGGTTTGACAGTAATGCACATGTAAACACAACTAGAGCCAACACTAAATGCTTTGTGGGATGTAAACCCAGTAGGCTAGAATGATTTTTGGTCAAATGAACTAATTTTGCAGATGCGTTGTCAAAAAAATTTAAGAAAGAGGCTCTGAACAAACATTAGCTAAATGAAGCAAAGTGTTATGCTAGTTCATTTGCACGTTTAGCGAGTCCCGCAAAAGACCCCATTATTTTCATTTGCTAAAATGAACAACAACATTTATCAAGGGGACTATAAAATGCATGAAAAGTGGTTTTCATGCACGAAAAAAGTCATAGCAACGCGGACTAATCTTCAGCCTTTAACTGATGATAGAATGTGAGTTGTGCACAGCAAAGGGTATCAGGACTTGATGCAACAGAATCATGGCATCGGTCCCACTTACTGCTGCTGACAGCTTGTCAAACGCACAAGTAAGCAACGAGCACCAACGAGAATACGAACTTTGCCAGCAAGTGTTACAACTGAAATGGGCTATTTAGACACTTCTAACTTGTACTCCGATCTGCGAACTATTAAAATACAATCCCTTTAATTGCGTAAATTCGCCACACTTGGGCACAGGCTAGGAATCGTTTGGACTTGTGCTTCGTTTGCACATCCTCGAAACTCAGTTGGTCAGGGATGCATATTCTGCCTGTAGTTGAAGGCAATCGCTCCCATGCATGCCAACCTCACAAGTCAACCTATTTCTCCTCTGGATAATTACCCGACCTTATTAACCAAGGCAAACAAGTAAAAGAGTTG